GGGTGTAGCGGAGAGGGCTCCCATCGTGCGGCCGTGGAAAGAGTTGTGGAAGGAGACGAATTCGTGTTTGGCTCCGGAGGGGTCAAGAGACCGGCCAACCTTACGAGCGAACTTGATGGCAGCCTCGTTCGCCTCGGTTCCGGAGTTAGAGATGAAGACTTGGGAAGCGTCGCGCATAGCGCCGGATTCATGTGTCAATGCAATCAACAATTTGCTAAGGGCACCAGTCCAAGCGTTATGGTAGAGGTTCGAGGCGTGAATGAGTGTCTCGGCCTACAAAACACATCAGTTACAAACCCTGATTGGTCAATCAACCTGAGTATACGCACCTGTTCCGCGATAATCTTTGCGATTTCCGGGTCACAATGGCCGAGAGAGTTGACGGCAATACCAGCGGTGAGATCGAGATACCGCCTGTTCTCCATATCCCAAACATAACACCCTTGTCCCTTGATCATTACGGGAGCTGGTCGCACGTATGTAGGCACCATGTACGGGGTACGCTCCCTGATGAAAGCCGCTGTCGCAGAATCCGCCGCAGGGTCTGGGTTAAGCAAAACTGCCTCTTTCTATGAAGATCACCATTATTACAACGGACAGTATGCTTGATTTAATATGACCTACAGTCACCTGAGCCTTCACATCTTGAGGAGCATTGGACGTTTGCGTTCCTGCCGCTGCAGAAGCAAATCGTTGCTGAACCGGTGACTGAAATCCAGGAACCAGTCGCTTTGTGAGCGGCAGCCGCCGCGAAGCCACACGCATGAAGGTCATTGAGGGTAGCAGTGACACTAGGAGATTGAGAATGAACGATGGCTGAAACAATTGACTTGGGGGAGGGACTGAATTAATAGGACTCAAAGAAGGAGAGTTAGAGTCATAAAGTTGACGACTATGACTGTGACTGTGATGGGCCCAGAAAATGCCGCGATATCGGGCGGGTCGCTTATCGGCCAAACTTCGCAGTAGAAATGACTCGTCTCCGTCACTCCGCATTTCCACTTCTTCACTCTGCTTGGGAAATATTTCTTGACTCTCTGTCTGTCACAGCTTGCGCCTCCAACAATAAACATCATGGCCCTCTCCTTCGTACCTCGCCGGGTATTCGTATCCTCCAGCCCTAGTCTCAGAATCTCCTCCCGATCCTTTTCATGTTACTCCGTTCTCCGGAACGACAAGCCGGCTTTCGCATTCGGCCGCGGCCCAGCTCCTCCAAGACTACCGAAGGAAGAGCAAGAGATCTTTGAAGATCTTCAAAGACAATCGACTGGCGCATTCAGTACGCCCCGCACCACTCCCAAAGTCAACCAGTCGCCACATTCCCAACCTGCCGCTGAAGAAAAGCCCGAGTTTAAGGCCACGGGCAAAGGAGAGGAACTTCATCCGGATCTGCGGCACGGTCTCAAGCCTGAATTCGAGGGTGAGAAGAACCCCAAGACTGGAGAAATAGGGGGGCCCAAGAACGAGCCACTCCGATGGGGAGCGGAGGGCGACTGGAGCTATGGTGGACGTGTCACAGATTTCTGATCGTGCACTGGGATGATCCTACGTCCTACCATTGTGATATTGTTGTCCCTTGGTGAGGCTTTGTATATTGCATCATTTGGCGTTCTGCATACCGGCTTGTCGATAGACTTTGTTTAGTGAAGGGAGATGCTGATCGCCCTTTCAATTGTACTACATATGAGCGTGAAATGGTGTATGATCAAAGAGTTAAAATAATGGTATATGACATGATAAAGGACTCATTTGTTTCACTGCATAGGGGCTTTTTGACGCTACTTAAATTACAGCACCCGCAAAGACGGAGTATACAATGCATAAGACAGGGCTTGAACATGGAAGCCACAGCTATTGACAATGGAAGCAATATGAAAGGTTATCAAACAGATATGTGTTTAAACCTGGTCCTGAATTCTTGCAAGAGTTGCCTTGCCCGCCCTGCTCTCATTGAACCGGCCCAGCTCGCTGCTGATCCACGAGCCAATCTTGGACATTTCTTCCAAGTTGATACCAGTATGCATTCCAAGTCCATGCAGCGTGTGAATCAAGTCTTCGGTTGATACATTACCAGTCGCACCTTTGGAATAAGGGCAGCCACCCAGACCCCCGACACTACTGTCGAAAATCCGAATGCCGTGTTCCAGTCCCACCATGGTGTTCACGAGGGCTTGGCCATACGTGTCGTGGAAATGAAGTGCCAGGTCGGTGTTTGCAATACCGGCGGCCTTGAGTGCTTGCAGAAGCTCGAGTGTCCGTGGAGCCGTTCCCATGCCGGTGGTGTCCGCAACCGACACTTCATCAGCGCCCATTTCAAGAAGTGTGGCCGTGATGTCCGCGACTTTGGCAGGGGGGACATCGGGGCCCTCGTATGGGCAGCCCAAAGCCACGGAAACATATCCTCTAACCCGGATATCTTTCGTCTTGGCCAACGCTACGATGGGACGAATCCGCTCGAGCGACTCTGCAATGGTACAATTGGTGTTGGCTTTGGAAAATGCTTCCGTTGCTGCGGCGAAGAGTGAAATTTCAGTAGAGGTCGGGGGCTTAGACGCCGAGCCTGGTGTCTCTGCTGTAGAACCAGTAGCATCCATAACCTTGATGAGACTCTCAAGCCCCTTGACATTTGGAACCAGGTAATTATAAGCAATAGCATTCTGCGACTGGGGTGGTGACTGGAGCAGATGTTCGCAGATTTCTGCAGTGCTAGCCATCTGTTGGGCCCAGAAACAGTCAGTCCAGCAACTTCATACACTTCTTCAAACAGATCTGCGGTTAATCATGAGATGTATACCTGTGGCACCCATTTCGCAGGTACGAAAGATCCCGCCTCGATGGTCGCCACGCCCGTCTTCGCCAACTTCTCGATGAGCTGTAGCTTTGTCTCGAGTGGTATAGATTTCTTTTCGTTCTGTAGCCCATCTCGTGGACCTACTTCGACAATGCGAACGTGGTCCGAGGTTAGCCGCGCCTCTGTCGCAAAGCGTCGAGCAGCTGGAGCAGCTCGAAGGGCAGAGAACAGGTTCAATCTCGGTCGGAAAGCCATGATCCAAGGAAAAGACGATATGACCATAAGACAATGTCAGTCGAAGAACTGATTGGAATGCATGAATGACCCTAAGAGAGAAATGAGCAGCTGCCACTGTCTCTGGACGCTCGGTCGAACCGAGAATGCGGAGAGAAGCCGCTTGGTTACACTCGGCGACCCCACCTGATCCATCCGCCACCATCAATATTGTGGTCCATCTTAGTCAGGATAAGAAAAGAAAATCAGTCCATCCCACTTTGGATACAAGAAGGAATTGACAGTCGATCATGACAGAGCCGTTGATGTCTTCCGCTGCACCAGAAACGAAGATGGAAGAGACTGCATCAACTAGCAATCTCCGGCAACCAAAGAAGAGATTTGTCGGAAGACGTGCAGCAGAGGCGCAAGCACAAAAAGATGCGTCTACAAGTTCTAAAGATGTCGAGTCTACAAGCATTCAACGAGGTGACTGGCCTTTTTTCGCTGATTCGCACTTGTAATCATAGACTGATGATGGTTTCTGACAGCCGCGCCCCGAAGAAACCCAAGAACCTTGAATCAAGTCCCGCCCGAGATCCTGGAAGATCCTGAAATCCAGGCCGCGATTGAACTTCTGCCCAAGAACTACTCATTCGAGATTCCCAAGACGATCCATCGGATACGGACATCGGGCGCCAAGCGTGTCGCTCTACAGTTTCCGGAGGGTCTGCTCATATTCGCTACCACGATATCTGATATCCTGACGCAATTTTGCCCGGGGACGGAGACTCTGATAATGGGCGATGTCACCTACGGCGCCTGCTGTATCGACGACTATACCGCTCGTGCTCTAGGATGCGATCTGCTGGTCCACTATGCGCACAGCTGCCTCATTCCCGTTGACGTGACCCAAATAAAGACCCTGTACATCTTCGTCGACATCAGCATCGACACCTCACACCTGATCGCCACGCTAGAACGCAACTTCCAACCTGGAAAGACCATCGCAACCGTCGGCACGATCCAATTCAACGCAACCCTTCACGGCCTCAAGCCCGTGCTCGAACGTGCCGGATTCAAAGTCGTCATCCCCCAAATCGCACCGCTGTCCAAAGGCGAGATCCTAGGATGCACCTCGCCGCAACTCTCCCCCACCGAGATCGGCATCCTCCTCTACCTCGGCGATGGCCGCTTCCACCTCGAATCCGCCATGATCCACAACCCTACCATCCCCGCATACCGCTACGACCCGTACTCCCGCACCCTCTCCCGCGAGACCTACTCCCACGACGAGATGCACACCCTCCGCCGAGACGCCATCAGCACAGCCAAATCGGCCAGGAAATGGGGCATCATTCTAGGCTCGCTCGGCCGGCAAGGGAACCCGAACACCATGGCCATGATCGAGAACCATCTCAACGAGCGCGGTATCCCCTTCGTCAACTTGCTTTTGAGCGAGATCTTTCCCGGAAAGTTGGCGTCCATGTCGGATGTTGAATGCTGGGTGCAGATCGCATGCCCCAGGTTGAGTATTGATTGGGGCTATGCGTTTCCGCGACCGCTTCTGACCCCCTATGAGGCGTTGATTGCATTGGGTGTGAGGGAGCACTGGGATAGCGCGAACAGGGGTATATATCCGATGGACTTTTATGCTAAAGAGGGATTAGGCAGAACAAAGCCTCGGCAAGCTTTACAAGGGGCTGCTTGATAGTCACTTTCTGTCCATGATGGTGTTCGAAAAGATGATGGTTATGAGAAAAAAGAAATAATGCCGAATCTTGTGTCAGGACGCCGAGAACGTCTCAACGATAATGCATGGTGAAATCGTTCATATTTTCTTTAGATTCATTTCATGATGCCTATGGCTGGCTTGTAACAGCGCTCTGGCACAGATATCCTACACATACAGATGGCCTTTCTGCACTTTGAAGGCAGAACCCTTTCCCTAATCATACATTGCATCCAATGACTCTCAATCCGTTCCAAGGGCGTGTCATGCCCCCTTGACTTCATCTGCGCTGTCTGTGTTCAAATCACTTGTGCTACCTCTTCGAAGGGATAAGATGTTCTTGCTTGCCAGTTCGTCAGCAGTGCGTTCCGCCGCCCGCCATCTCGTCACCGCTTGCTCGACATCCTCGAACATCTCCAGAGTATCTTTGATGATGCCTCCTTCATCCGGTTCGGGGACTTGCGTGCTTTCACGTGACCCGCTATCGCTGGTCATCGGGAAGCCAGGTCCAAACCCACGTTGCGGAATGGGATTGAACATGACGGCATTAGCGAACATGCGAATCAGTTCTTTCTCCAGCTGTGCCGAGTTAACTATGGCTTTGGGAGGAATGACATCTTCCGTCTTTGGCAGCACTAGAACAGCGTTCTTGGAAGGGGTGCCTGCATTGGGAGCCGGGGACTCTCCATCTGCAGCAGGTGTGCTAGCAGCTTCCGTAGCTGCTGCCACAGCCCTGCTGCCTTGATGGATGGACGACTTGATCGATTTCAAATCCTGCGGCCGATATATGAGATCTCGATACCCAGGTGCGTCTCGCTCAGCTAGCGGCTTCGCAAATATTGAAGCATGCTTGTGCATGGTCACATCGTTCATTATAGGTGCGCCGGTTCTGGGAAAGTTACGAGGACACAACACGTATGATGCGGACTGTGTCGATTCCAGCCGGCTAGGTTCAGTCGGAAGTGACTCTGGCTCTGGGGCATCACTGGTCCCACGTTTGCGTTTCGGCCTCCCTCTCCCTGGCCGTTCTTCGGTCTGAGACAAAGCGGCAGCGCCTTTTCGGGCTCCACTGGCACGACCCTCCAATTCAGATGTCTCTGGGATATTGGCCGGCGTACCAGGCAACTCATGCTTGATCTTTCCAACAGGGCCATTTCCGGGCTCGGCGACGGATTCCTCATCGCGTGATACTACGGACCTTCCCCGACTTCTTGAGGAGGTCGTGCTTCGATCCCGTTTCTTCCCAGCAGCGGACACTGTGGCTTTTTCTACTTTGGCTTTCAGCCGCCCTTTAGGTTCCACATCTTGCGGCATGCTGAGTTCCTGGATTGTTCTCGCCCCCTTTTCTTCAACGGCTCGGCGCTTGTTCCGGCGGCTTCCTGTTTCTTCTGGCAGCGGCTCAGGGAACTCAATTGGCGATGGGGCTCTTTCGCTAATCGGGCTGACATCCTCTGGCCGAGGTCGAATCGGTGATCTAGGCGACTGGGGAATGCTCAGGCGCGGTGTCTTCTTCCAAGGTGTAGAAGATCTCGTATCGACGAAGAGTTGAGGGCGGTGGACATTTCGTGCTTCCGAAAGCAATGCTTGCGCTGCTCCGACAGGCGTCTGGTAACCCTGAGCATGGCCGTTGACAGCTGTTGATACGATCGGTGCCGAAGGCCCTGGTGTAGATGGCACAGGCGTCTGGGGAGGGGCTTGTGGTGTCTTTTCAGGCTCGAGTTTCGGTGTGTGTTGAGGAAGAGGGTTGAGGGGTGGTCTACCCTCCATAGCACGCTTATCTGCCTGTGGTTGCGGGTAGGTAAAGGGCGGTGGCTGTGGGGTTTGAGGTGGCTGATGTAAGGACCACTGCTGGATTATTGGCTGGGGTGGGAGACGTTGAGGTGCTGTGACAGGAGTGGCAGCTGAAGCACCCTGCTTGCCCGCAGGTCTGGCCGCTGAAGCTGAAGCCGGTGATGGAGCAGGAACAGGAGTAGGTTTGTGAATGTCCCGCTGGGCTTGCAAGGGCGCCGCCGTAAAAGTTGGCACATTGCCCTGGCTCGGAATTGGAGCAGCGGGGGGCTTCTGTGGATGTACAGCTGGCGCATTCTTCGCCTTTTGCGCCGAAGACACAGTCGGAGGCACTTTTCCTGGTAGTTGTTGAACTGCCGAGGGTGCCTGACCATTAACCGGCTGTGGTTGCGATGGTAATCCAGTAGGCATGCGTGGAATAGGCTGAGCATGAGGCGGCTGCGGTTGCGGTTGCTGCTGCGCCTCTCTGAGCTGTTCCTGATGCAGTTTCGTTTGCAATTGAGTTGGTAGCACCTGCGGTTGTTGTCTTGCTGCGGCCGCTGTCGGCGACGCAGTCGGTTGCGCTAGCTTTTCTTGCGGTAGAGAGGGTACAATATCCTTGCGCTGCGGTTCCTTCTCTGTTTGCTTGACATTGATATCCAACGGCGGCTGGACTGCAGGTTGGCTGGGTTCCTGGCGAGGCTGTTGAGCGGGCTTTTCCTCCTTGACATCCAAGTCCATGGGCTCCGGCGCAAATTCTTGTTTTGGTCTTTGTACTGCGGGTACCGGTACAGGTGTCGGCGCAGGCACTGGCTGTGAGGGTGTCTGAAGCTCCTCATTCTGTAGCCTCTCGATTTCATCACTTATTTCTTTGTATCTCCTTTCCTCGTTCCGAATCTCTCTAGTCACGAGTTCTTTGTATCTGGCATATAGATGAGATACTAGCTCGGGAAGCAAACTGGCATGGCTCCTCCCCTTGTCAACCAACACCTCCGGGCGAGGACTCGCGATCTTACGTTTCAGCGGATTAGTGAGTTGAGCGCCTTCGGGATGTACACCGTTTTGTTCGGGAAGTGAGGCAGCCCCGGTGCCATCCAATCCATCTCGCATCAAGGTCGTGTACAAATCCTCGAGGGCCTCCGGGCTGAGCCTGTCCGCGTTGAATGCGACATTCTCGCGGATGAATGTATTGTTACGCAGAATATCGGAGATGGATGCGAAGTTGACAGGACGAGCACCTAACGTGGCGAGGGACTGGAAGAAAAGGAGAGATTCAAAAGGAGTGTAAGCCGACAGAGGAGGCATCCCCCATTGCCCCTTTGATCGGCCACTGGGGGAGAAAGATTTGGAGATCGGGGCCACGGTGATGGACGATGTCGGCGGTTGGCCCGATGGACCCAAGTCCTCTAGTCACCAAAACACGAAAGAACGCGACCACAAATGGTACGGCTAGCGGATTAGACCATTAGTGCAGAAAAAGGTAGGGAGGGAAATCTCGAGCGGGAGACACGGTGTCCAGAAATCGACAAAAAGGCGGGCGATTAAAAATAGGAAAAAATAATGCTTTGAAATTAGAGAAAATTACACTTGACAGGCTGTATTTGATGAACAGGATAAATTCTTGATGGAATGAGAATAGGGTGATGAACACGTTGCTGGGTGCAGAGGGATGAGCTATTGCTGTGACAGACGGCTTTCTGGTGGTGTCTCGCTTCCTTTCCAGAGAGGGAAAATTTGACAAAGGACCCCGACCGCCAACAGAGGGGCCAAATCACGTGAGTTGTTTCCACTGATCGACATGCTCAAAGTTGGAAGGAATTCTTGTATGTAATGATGGATGTAATGACTGTACAGTACAACCTGACAGGTAAGGTACCTGACTTGAATGTCCTGCAGTGATGACGTGCCGTCATGTTTATGTACCTCCTTCTTTTAGATGAAGACTGTCTATCCTTGCAGTAATGACGACAAGTTGCTTGTTATTTTATCATTGTCCATACCATGCGAGGCAACCTTACACCCATCAGCAACTTCAAGGGCACATTGACATCAATCAGCTATTAGAGAGAGTTCAGGATCAGAGTCTAACGTTGGCACGCTAGCTGAGCATTCGAACTTTCAAAGTCTTCCAATCATCAAAAGGCCCAGAGATGCTATGAGTCTACTCCGTATGACTAAGGTAGTGACGAGAAAAAGGACAGGGGCTAAGATACCTATGGAGGATCTCGACTCAAGTACTGGAAGAATTCACCTATGGACGATAACAATTTTGTGACTTTACATGACGATTACATAGAATGACAATACCCCACACTTGTCAGGGGCTTCTCTCAACTAGGCAACTCATGGAGTCAGGAAGTTTAGAACCCCCTTTCTTGAAGCTCCTTGTCCAACTGTTGGAAGTAGTAGCATTGCAGTGCGCGTTACCCAAGTTGGATAAATAGCTAATACTTCTCTTCTCATTAAAGCACCTGCGGCATCTCCAAAGATGAGAAGGTGAGAAGGGAGTATACAAAAGGAGTTCCTGCAGTGGTGGACGGCGGACACCATCTCCCCATAATTTTAGATTTGACTGTTGATATGGAGAAATATTTAATTATCTGCTGAGCATGAAAGAAAAGGAGACAGAAGAAATAGCAATAGACGATCCAGTTAACTAGCGCAACAACTTACTAAGTACTACTGATCTACCTGTACCATCAGCTATTTTTTTCATCTTGTTTATTCCAATTCCCTCCCTTTCTCGTCAATCCTACTTTGATCTTCCTCCTGCTGCGACAGCCAGACACCTGCTTGTTGCGCCTTGCCAACTCTCCGACCGTGCACTGTCACGCCGATAGCCTCCTCGTTGCTGCTCTTCTGCTCGGTTCGCAGAGCGGTTCCTCCCCCTGTGATCTATAGGAGTGGCAGCACATCCAGCAATCAGTCCAGTCCGTCCATCAAGCTTTATCATAGATTCTCAGCTGGTCCTGGTCTCATACACTACTATATTAATCCCGCTCTAATCTTATTTCTTTTAATTTTACCTTTTTGCCCGATAAACCGATCACATTAATCCACCCTTCCCCCTCCTGACGCGCGCTCAATCACTTGTCTCCTTCTCCTTACCGCACCAAAGACAACCGATCTGACAGCGTCTATACTCCTCATCTTTCTTGATCGAATTGTGCTTTCGTACCGCATTTGATCTCAGATATTCACGCACTATTGTCAATAGTGCAATATCAATATGTCGGACATGGAGCAGGAATGGAAACCAAAAGGTCGCCCTCAGTCGTTCGTCTTCCCGTTTGCGCCCTCTCCGATATCAAAACGTTGGCGTTGACCAAGACCTGGCAGGACCATGGCTCAGGCCTTTTCCTCAACGCTGGATAGCGTCTTCGCACTGGATTCGGATGTGGACCACCTGTCGCAGACTATAGATCAGAAGTAAGTTCTCATTAGAGGCTTGTTCACTGAATGACGGGATAGTTGGGTTGATCAAAGGTTCTGGAACCTCAGGAGGTTCCAAATGATTATACAAACGAGAGAGCTGGAGGAACTGCAGGCCAAGATCCGGGAGACCGAGCGACGTCTGAAAGCTCGTCAATCACTCATCTTGGATGGAAACGGCCCGAGAGACAGCGCAGGCGCACCGAAGGAGGACAATGAATATCGAACAGCAGGTAAGGAAAAGTCGTTTCTCGGTATGTGTATCAGTGCGGCTCACAAGCTCTTGTCCGAAACACAGAGTCCTCCACTTCGACCGCGACATCACCCACAGATTCAGCGGGGCAGTACTCCAGCAGTGACGAACAGCGAGAGCAAGACCGAAACCGCAACAGGTGACTTGTCTTTGCGGATCAAGACTGGTCTCGTCCAGTTTGTATGGGTAACGAATGCGGTTTCAGTGAAATGAACTTTGCTCTTTTCTTCACCACCTTTCAAGGGACATGGCTGAGAGCATCAATATTGTTGGTGTATTCTCTTCCCATTTTTATCGTCCTTCCGCGACATGTAGACAAAATGATGGACGATGTCGGGATGCCTTTTGTCCAGATTGCTATGAGCTTCTGGAGAGCATCGCGGCCACTGGCATCCTTGGTCAAACCTGTGCATTTATATGCCGTGCGACAACTCTACTCACCTGAAGACTTTTATTCTTTGTTGTGGCATACAATGTGTTTATTGTTACTTTCACCTAATCATAATTTTTTTCAAGCTGAGAAGCCATCAGTCTTCGCAATTCTCGATAAAGATGTCTGTCGACTTGCAAATGTTGTTGAATAGATAGATGAGGGGGAAAGGAGAGTGTCTGTCTCAGGTTGACTCTATTTTTGGCGACGAGCCCGTTGGACCTTCCGAGCACTTTCTTATGGGTGTTCGAAATCAGTCTATCACTGTTCCAGTAGTATGAAATAATTCTTCCTTTTTTGGCTTGACCTGAAGAGATCTACCGCAGTATTCTGCTTGACTTGAGAGCGAACAGCAGATAACCTCAGACACAAAGCATATATAATCTACATGAGATTCGTCTGCTTATCACAAATCTGGGATTTACTATGGTACCTCTTAACTGATTCCTTTCCTGTACGAGCCGCTTGCCGCCTAGCATTTCCACTCGCACCGACGAAAAGTGGTAGGAGTACGCCACTTCCTTGATTCATTTCCTTGTAACCAAACTGATGCTTTTTGAATAGAAGGCTCCTGGAGAACTTTGCACAGTTTAGCAAGATATTATGTGCTTGTCGAACATTCACTCAAGAAAAATTTCCAAGTCATGGGGCTGTATCTTGTAGTTATAGCCATGGATGCAATGCATCGGATGAGACGTTAGACTGCAAACTTTATCAATCTAACTTTCCCGATGCAGGCGATTCTGGTTCCTGGATTTTAGATAGTTATTTACTGCACTTTGAAGATGCCCAGGAATTGGTACAGGGAGACAACAGTCTTTATGCAGGCGGAAATGCCTGCGAACCTGATAGTATGTAGATGTTCCCATCTTGCATTTGACTTCCAATGGCCATTGGCCTATATGTTATCAACGTTCAATTCTGATTAGATGCATCATGATGAAGATGAATAATAGTACTACTATTGAGTTATATTTATACCCGTCCTCGATTCATTAGCCATGATGCACAATATATCTAGCCAAAGGTAGATACATTCTCCTAATCTGCTTAACCATCGATGATGTCAGATCTCGCCCTCATTCTCCTCCTGCAATGCTCCACCTTCACAGCTAACAAACCTTGGAAATCCCCAGCAATCCAGCAAAGATGCGCCCGAGCGACGAGTCCAGACTACTCTGGCTATCAATTTCTGATAAGCCGCTGCGGTCATCGGACAAATCAGGTTCTCTAGGTCCCTCAGTTATTGTCCGTCTGTCTTGCTGAGTTGTACGTGCAGCTCCAGAAAAGAATAGTAAGGGTCCTCCTCCATCCAATGCACCTACACCGGAGGTCAAGGTACAGAGCTTGCGCAGTCGGCTAGTTCTTGGTATTATTATTATTATTATTATTCGGTCTGCCCGCACCCTCGCTCTTGACCTCTTCTTTTCTCTTTTGCTTGTTCTCTCTCAATTACGTTTTCCCTTTTTTCTTCCTCGATTCTCCGGAGTATCGATCTCCAGTTTATCTGACCATGGTTGTGATTGACAAGCAAGAGTACCTCACCCAAGAGGAACAGCGTCTCAAGGAGGACCGTGAACGGACCAGATACTGGAAGAAATGGGGTCCTTATGTCGCAGAGAGACAATGGGCAACAGGTGAGTTCTCGTTCATTCATGAGTTGCTTCGAGTGGCATCACTGGTAATTTGGAGCTTGTTCGCTGATGACCACATCCCCGGCCGTCTGCAGTCCGAGAGGATTATTCGTAAGTGCTTCTTCTCTTTTCCTCCTTGACTAAGTTCTTGGCGTTATCATTATTGTGTCCCAATGCAATGGTTACACCTGCTGACGAATTATCAGTGAAAATGGAGACGCGTGGAGCTGTAAGTCCATTCCATCAACATGTGAACTGCGCGGGGCTGATCGACGTATCTGTCACACTTAGACTTCTCCCACGACCACTCCCGGTCAAGAACATATCGGTGGGGCGAAGATGGAATTGCCGGTGTCTCGGACACCCATGGCTTAGAAAATATCGCTTTTTCCTTTTGGAATGAGAAAGAGTATGTCACACGCTCTGTGGCTATGCGATCTGAGCAACGTACTGACATTGACTGCTGAACAGCGACTTCTTGAAAGAGCGCCTGTTTGGATTGTCGAATCCTCAGGGAAATCATGGTGAGAGCGTCAAGGAAGCTCACTTTCACCTGGATAACACCCCAACCGTAAGGGCCTCGTGTCGACTGCTTAAGTACCCGTTCCATTGACAGGCGCGCTTCTAGCACTCGTACATGAAATACCTCTACAAGTATCCTCAGAAGAAGTTCCCCTACCAGGATTTGATCGATGAAAATGCGCGGCGTTCAAGACAGGACCGTGAATACCAGCTTCTCGACACCGGCGCATTTGAGGATAATCGCTACTGGGATATCTTCATTGAGACAGCCAAGGAGGGAGAAGATGAGGAGGAACTCATGTTCCGTGTCATTGCCTACAACAGAGGCCCGGAACCCGCTCCGTTGCACATAGTCCCTCATGTGTGGTTCCGAAACACCTGGTCTTGGGGGTATGAGAATGAGAAGGAGAAACCGTCAATTGAGAAAGTGTCGCAGCTTACAGCAAAAACCTCTCACAAGAAGCTGGGAGAGCGCTACGTACGATTCTCGCCCTCTCCAGCTGTTGGCGATAGTCAGGAGGACGTCATACCTCGTATGCTGTTCACTGAGAACGAGACGAACAACGAGCTCCTCTGGGGAACTAAGAACGATCAGCCCTACGTCAAGGATGCCTTCCATCGCCATATCGTCAACGAACAGAAGGATGCAGTTAACCCCGCCAACAAGGGAACAAAGTTCGCCGCTTGGTATGCGTTTGACGAGGGAGACGGCATCCCTCCAGGCGAGTGCGCAGTCGTCCGCTTCAGGTTCTCCCGCAAGAACGGGCAATTCATTGACGAAGAAGTGCTGGATGATACAATCGAGCAGCGAAGGGCAGAAGCTGACGACTTCTACTACCGAATCAGCCCTCTCCCGATGAGTGACGATCTGCGTAATATCCAAAGACAGGCATTTGCCGGCATGATGTGGACGAAACAATTCTACCACTTCGTTTGGGACCAATGGGCGAACGGAGATCCTGGGATGATACCGCCGCCCCCAGGAAGGAAGCATGTGCGCAATCAGCAATGGAAGCATCTATACATTGATGACATCTTGTCTATGCCGGACTCCTGGGAATATCCTTTTTTCGCTGCTTGGGATACAGCTTTCCACTGCATCCCGCTGGCCATGATCGACCCAGACTTCGCGAAGAAGCAGCTGGACATTCTTACTCGTGAATGGTACATGCACCCGAATGGTCAGCTCGCGGCTTATGAATGGAACTTTGGGGATGTCAACCCTCCTGTGCATGCATGGGCCGTCTTCAGAACGTTCAAGATTGAACGGAAGATGTACGGCCGGCAGGACCTTGACTTCCTGGAGCGCGTCTTCCAGAAGTTGCTGCTGAACTTTACCTGGTGGGTCAACCGTAAGGACTCAGACGGCAAAAATGTTTTCGAGGGCGGTTTCCTGGGCCTGGATAACATTGGACTGTTCAACCGTTCTGAGCCTCTCCCGACTGGAGGTGTCTTGGAACAGGCGGACAGTACCGGCTGGATGGCCTTCTACTGTCTATGCATGCTCAATATAGCCCTTGAATTGGCTAAGCATCGCCGAACTTACGAAGACAGTGAGTGAACGTTCTACCAACCCACAGACTTCTCACTAAATAAAACTAGTTGCGTCCAAATTCTTCGAGCACTTCCTTCTCATTAGTGATGCTATGACTTTCAAGTCAGGAGGCAAAGAATCCTCTCTGTGGAACGAAGAAGACGGGTATGTGTAGTGCGATAGTCACGAGTGGTGGGCTAGCAGCTAATCCCTTCATAGCTTTTACTACGACGCGATTTCTTATGGCGAGCCATGGACACAACAGCTTCCTGTGAGGTCGCTGGTTGGCTTGATTCCTCTGTATGCGGTTCTCACGCTCGAACCTGAGCTGATCAACAAGTTCCCTTCATTCAAGCGGAGAATGGACTGGTTCATTGAGAACAGGCAGGATGTTGCAGAGAGAAACATTGCCAGCATGAAACGGCGCGGAAAGGACGACCGACTCCTTCTGTCGCTGGTGAGCAAGGATCGTCTGGAGAAGATTCTCAAGAGGATGCTGGACGAAACCGAGTTCTTGTCCGAGCACGGTATCCGGTCTATGTCCAAGTACCATGAGAAGCACCCGTATTCCATGGACGTCAATGGCCAGACATTCAGAGTTGGCTATGTACCAGGTGATTCCGACAGTGGATTGTTCGGCGGGAACAGCAACTGGCGCGGACCCGTCTGGCTGTGTGTCAACTTCTTACTTGTTGAGTCCCTCCTCCGATTCTACATGTTTTATGGGGATTCTTTCCAGGTGGAATGTCCCACAGGCTCCGGCGACTACATGCATCTAGGCCATGTTGCCGAGGAGATTCAGCATCGTCTGCAGCACCTCTTCGCTCGCAATGACGAAGGTCGCCGAGCCGTCAACGATGGCTCAGATCTGCTCGATTTCGACGAGCACTGGAAGGACTACATGTGGTTCCACGAGTTCTTCGATGGTGACACCGGACGTGGACTGGGAGCATCCCACCAATGCGGATGGACAGGTCTCATCGCCAAGGTCATCCACGATACCGGGTAAGTGTACCCCTCTTGAGCCTGACACTCCATTCCCCCACCCCTAACCTTCTCCGCAGAGTCAACTGCCGCCTACCACAAACCCCCCGCTCCCCCTTTGCCGCCGCATCGCACTACTTCGACGACATCTTCACCCGCTCAGGCCGGCCCCGCTCCAGCCGCAAGCCCAGCTTCCGTCGCTCGTCAACCACCCGCTCCATCGGCAACCGCAGCGACTTCGAATCAGCCTTCACCGGCGCTGAGACCCCCGGCGCAGAGATCCTGTCCGAAGACGAGCAGGACCGCGGAGTCCTCCACAACGGGGTGGACGAGCACGTCTCCAATTACGTCGCGAGTCAGCTGCAGCGCGTGAGAAGCTCCGCGTCCATCGCGGCTTACGAGGACGAGTTCGAGACGCAGGCTGACCACACTCCGAACGGTCATTAGACTTCTTCTTATCTGGTGATGCATCTTTGTCAAAAGTGGATTCGGATGAAATCCAAGTCATGCGCATGTTGACACTGCATTATGTTGTTATATATGGTTGATCTATCGAGGTAGAATTGCGTTGCATATCGTTTTTGGTTGAATTGAAATACTAGAAGGATCCATTCTCAACGTGCCCAGACACAGATCGTTCCAAGTCGTGTTGTCTTCATTGTAATTGTTCGTCAGTAGTGAATTGCTCGCTTTCCGGCAAAAGAAACCGGCGGATTATATACCAGGATATGGATAATGAGCCAGCTCCAATACATGACATGCCGGCGAGCATGTTCCTTACTTCGATATACTGCCAGAAATCGCATGACGATATATCAACTCCTGGAGATTGGCCATTGCAACGGACATCTACCAAGACGCGAGGCATAGCATAGATATCTATTATTCTCTTTACCTCATCCCCATCTCACCATGACACTCACGCTCTCGCACTAGAAAATATAACAAAAGACGCAATGCAAATATCAGTGAAAACGAACTCTTATCCTGTCCATTCATTGCTTTCCAGAACTCGAGAATGTCTCTTGGAAGCCGCGCAGACGAAGCACGACTATGGGACTGTACGATACATGTCAAAGGAAAAATCAAATTCTAGCCTAGTTTATAATTTACAGAGCATCGGTAAGGGCCTTGTTGAGCTTGGCGATCTTGGACGAGACGCTGAGGTCGATGGTGCGGTCGCCGATCTCCAGGACGAGACCGCCGACGATGTCGGGGTTGACCTGGTACATAGACATTAGTTTAGGTGGTCAAGAGTGATGGTGAGGTGATAGGCGTACCTTAGTAACGACCTTGAGCTTCTTGCCCTGGCTGAGGTCGTACTTGGAAACGGCCTTCTCAAGACGGTTCAGGGTCTTGTTGTCGAGTTCCTGCGAGGGAGGCTAGTGTGAGCGACAAGTCCAGTGGGGTCGTAAAGCAATAGCCGAAACGCACCTGGGCACTGGTGATGGTAACCTCCATCTCACCACGGTGAGCACCCATCAGGGTCTCGAACTTCTCGCAGATGGCCTCAAGGAGCCCGAGACGGTTGTTCTCGGCCAGAGTCTGCAGGAAGTTCTTGAGGATGTCGCCCTTGTCGCTACCAGCGATCTTCTGGAGCTCCTGGATGATCTGCTGCTTGTCGCTGGCTGTGAGGGTGGGGGCAGCGATGAGGGTGGTCAGCTTGCGGTCGGCCTTGAAGGTCTGACCGAGGCTGGCGAGAGCCTTGGAGGTCTGGTCGAGAGCGGCCGACTTGGCAGAGGCAGTGTACTGTTCATTGTAGCTGTCAGTTCATATTCAATTGCCCCGAGTGATTCCCAGATGAACGATATGGATTTTGACGCGATTTTGCAGGCGGGGGGTCGGGTCAACGGAGCAAAAAAACGCAGACTGTGAACCAATCCGCACAGCATCGAAGGAGAGTCCAGGGACAAATGCAAGTCGTACCAGAGCAGTGGCATAGGTTCCATCAACACCGAAGAGAGCCACGGGGGGCTTGACGTTCTGAGCCGGGGTAGCATAGGTCCTCAAACCGTTGAGAGCAGCAGAGCGAGGGACGGAGAACTGCTGGGTGGCACGCAGGCCAACACGGGCGACACGAGCGGTATTCATCGCGGCTGTGATGTGAGAAGACCTCAAGGGGAGGGAGAGTGGAAGGATATAGGACGTGGGAACGTCGTTTGGAGGGGTGCAATGGCCGTTGGTCTGCTGCCGGAGAGTCTCTCACGAAGTTAGCGATGTCCAACTTCTCCCGGTCCCGGTCACGTGAGTTTCCGCACACGCCGAGAATTTCGGGTTCTCTTAGTGATAGCCATCTCTCCTACAGCGTGAAATGACTGAACTCGAAGACAAAAGCAAAGAACGTGCTCACGACGCGGTTTACTTCGATACTAATGCATACTTTTACATTGAAGAATCTCTCTCACTGAAGATGTATCAAGGACGGAAATGTCTCTCTGCCACCCTAGGAAATGGATCTGAAAGAAATGCAGAACACCCTAAACGCCGATATTACCTCGACCTGACTCCGACCGAGGAGTACTCCGACCCAGTCATCAATCATCAATCGCATTTCGAGAACAGGAATCAGTCACTCCGCAACATGCTGTCGACTAGATCCCCAAGAGGACCCCAATAATCCTTCCCAGTCGCCAGCCGATGTTCATCAACGAATAGAACATAGTGTTTGAAACTGGTATTGAGATGGGGCTCGAGTCCCAAGTGCACAACCACAGGGTAGTGGTGGCAGTAGATGTGTGCATATACTCGATAAAGTCGCTTGAAAATCTGGCGAATCAAACTTGAGAATGCTTTGGGGAAGGGGACACCTGTCATGCTCGTCAGCACACCCCGTCGCAGTCCTTGAGAGTAAGACAAAACCGGTGTCATACCAAGCCTGCTTGGGAACATCTGTTCGTTGTCGATATTACTCTGAACCCAGCTCATCAGGTGTTCGATGTACTCTGGCGCCGACATCTTGGTCGGTCGCTTGAAATTCTCCGAGTCTTGCCAGAGATACTCGAACCTATCGCATCAACCTTGGTCAGCCGCAAGTCTCCCGTTTGTTGCTGAAGTGAAAGAACCTACTCATCGGTGGCTTTCATCTCCGGACACGATTGCGGGGAGCAGAACTCTGTGATGGCGCCGTAGAGGAGGTTGATCTGATTGTAAAAGTCGACCACTAAAGCGAAAATCCAACTAATTAGCTATCCCCAAGTCACACTCAGGGGTATCGCAACAACTTCTCCAGTAGACTCTCACCATTGACTGCAAGCCACTCATTCAGATCCTCGCCCTCAGGTAGCTTCACAGCCTTCCTCAAGCTCCCGCTCCCCAAAGTCGCCTCTGCGAACTGTCTCAGCTGATAACTGCTCGTGCCCTTGGCCGCCGACCGGGGCTTAAACGGTGCCCTGGTTCGCGCATTGCTGGGAGGCGTCAGTCCACACAGATTCTGCTTGAGCGCGCGAACAGCAGGAGACAAGTAAGACGGTGGCTCCGAAAGTGGACCACGAAAAGTATGGATGGTGCTGCATGAGATTGACGGGGTGAGGGCGGAGGGTTGGTGTGGTGGCGGGGCAGACGAAGAAGTAGATGAGGAAGAAGTAGAAGCAGCAGGAGTAAAGGGTCTGAAGGGCACGAACATGGTGGTGATAAGTGAAGCCATCCTGACTCTGCTCTGTGACCTCAATACCTCCTTGGAGGTATTCGCTATAAGAGGACGACGGCGTTTCTTTTGATCTTTCCCGTTTCGGAGGTATGAGCTGTAGTCCAAAATGCCGCCGATCTGCGTATGCGTTGCTGAGTGCGAAAATGCGCCTACATTCCAATGCCAGAGGGGTTAGCTATCGAGCCGAATCGGGTGTTCTGATCTCTGGAACCTCGATCTCACTAACCGAAAGAACGACGAAAGCTAATGCTTGGGGTTTTTGGAGGTTCGGCTGAGAGGAGGGGCACACGCGAGAAAATAATGTCGCGCTGTAGAACGCACTCAAGTACAAGGGGATGATATTTCCGATGCGGATAAGGAAGAAAAAAGTAAAACAAACGGATTACCTGCAGGAAACGCGATGATCAACAAGCAAGCCTAAACTTGACGATATGACGACTAAGACCTAGACTTCAGCTGGCCACAAGCAGGAAATCCGATCGCTCTTCTCCGCCATGAGATCCCACAAGCGGAGGGTCTGACAGTCGTGATCCATGGATGCCTCAAGGGAGCGTGACGGAAGGCCCCATTGGTTGCCCCAGTGACCACTCTCATCCAAAGACTGTGATGTCAGACTCGATTACTAGGTGCAGTTTATTAGATAGTGATTTGGCTACATTTGAGCGTTAAAGGAATCTATGAGAATTATCATATTAATGAGCGCTGCACTATACGAGTCTCACGAGAAGACTATGGGGGAATCAATCCGATTCATTTGAATCGCAATGGGATATGACCAACGCTCATGCAAGAAGTACATATACATCTAGATAGAATAACCCTCGTTCTCTTCCGGGAGCCTCTCCCGAACAGTCTCCCCATATACCGTGATAGGAATAGCGATCTCAAAGGACTCACAACCGAGATTCTCCAGGCCTGACATAACCTGCCCACGGTCGTCCTCGAAAACCACTTCAAGCAGCCTAGCACCAGAGAGCCCTGACCCCAGCTCATGGTGTGAGCTGGTAGTCACAAACTCCAACCGTAACTCCCATTCATGGTTGACTCCGGTGGTGATGATAGTCGGCGTTGCGGAGATGGGAACCGCAGGACTGAAAACAACTCGCGTGGAATAAAGCGTAATCTCGAAGAAGGACGCATGCACTCGTCGGGTGGCTCGGTGAATGCTAGCGTTTGACCGAACTGTCAGTGAGGGTGCGACCTTCTCAGACGACTCCAGTGTGGCCCGCAGGGCGTAGCATGGGAGCGCGACATCTGTGAAGTTCACTGTGGCGGTGATGGTTTCGCCCAATCGATGTGCCGGCCGGTTGAGTACCACCACAGCGATCCGACGCCCATTGCGGGCAATTTCAAACCGGTTGGGGCTGCGTGCCGTGCTGATCGCTTGATTGCTTCGAAGGATGGCCAAGTCAATGGCGTCTTTGCAGGAAAGCGGGCCGGCCAACGGTTCATAGCTTGAGGAGCGTCTTGCATTGACAAGGTCTGGTGGCTGCAAAAGGTTTTTGCGAGATTGATGTTCGAGGATTTCATCTACGTAGGAAAGAAACTCTGGTGCTGACGTCCACACATGCCCGCTAATGCTCTTATTCTTCGGCACTGGCGGGGGGCTAGAGTCTATTTTCTGGACCCTGGCTTCGTCTCGAAGAAGTACATAAGGGCTCATCAGATTATGACCAAGGACCTCTCCTTGACCTAAGAGAAATTAGGCACAGATGTCAAGTAAGAACAGGACGGCTGATAAAAACTTACTGTTGACCCCGCTGAAGACACGGAAAGGGATAGTGATGCGATTCACGCGCTGAGGTTCGTTAGTCCCACTGGGCCTTTGAGTACCTATGACGAGATTATACGATATTTTGATAGCTTTGCCCTTATGACTCGCAGGAAGTCCCTTGGGTAGAGTGAAGGAGAAAGAATAGGACTGTTCTTCTCCAGGTGCCAGTCGCAGATCCACAAAGAGAAGGGACTGCGGAGTAGATAATAAAGGTATCGATCGTGATGAAGTAACACCACGCATATCACGAAGACCATCGAGTTCATTGTTGGATAGAAGACCGCTTATGGACTCCTCTATCGCATTCCACTTGAAAGCACCCCAGAATCCACCACTTTTACGGCTTTTGTCGCTGATGGAGGGGGGTCCACCATTTAGCATACCGGCTGCATTTCCTTGAGCGCCAACGACCCCTTTTCGTTTGACTTCTTCAAACGCTGCTTGGTTGATTAACGAGCCATCGACGGTAAAGGATGCACTGATTTGGGCATAGCCCATGAGGAGGGTTTGGCCGTTGGGTAGTCTCGGTCCCGTATCCGCGCTCGAAAAATGACGCGCGTGACGAGGAGCACTTGGGCGTTGTACATTTGCGGAGTAATTCGTGTATTCCGATTGAAGAGTCTCTGAGGAGTTGTCGCTGGCGGAGTAAAACTCCCCGCTGCTTCTATGACTTCCACTGAGGCTGGACGTAGAAATTATTCGTGTAAGTTGGGGTAGGTGGCCAGGTGGAGGCATTGCTGGACTTTCTTTCCCGTTTGATCTTCCTGTCGACCCGGAGCCGGTATTCCCATCAATAGATGTTGCCGCAGGAGAAAGGGCCGGGCGATAGTTAGGATCGGTTGTGGGAGCAGGAGGGAATTTGAAATCCATAGGCGGCAGTTGAGGCCTGCGTCCAGGCGTACGAGGGGATCCTAAAGGCTGAATGGGTCTCTGTCCGTTGGATCCGGAGCGATTGGCTCTGCTGAGCCCATCCACGTCTGGCCTCAGGTTACCCGAGAATTGGTTGGTGCCAGCCTCGGAGGAAATACCACGGACTGTATTTCGCCCAGCTAATGAGCGGAAGGCATGAGTGTCATTGATCGTCAAGTCAGGGATATAGCGCGAGCCTCACCTTTTGCGAAGCCATCTTCATACCCCTCATACCTTCTAGGTACGACTTGCAAGCTGGCAGAACGACCATGACCCTTCACCGGCCTGGAACGATTGAACTGGAACGACGACCTCGGGGTTTTATCCCCAGTTCCTTCACTTTCAATTGAAAGTATAGACACGGAGCGCTTGTGCTCATGCCCGGGGTTTCGGTCATTTCGCGGGGTGGGAGGAGGAAAGCTGTGCGAGCCGATTAACGGGGAGCTCAACGATGAGGATATTCGATGCGAAGGACTCTTCTTCGGCGCAACGGGAAAGGAGCGGCGGTGGGGACTGAACAATGAATTTTGAGGAGCTTTCAAGGAGAAATAGGACTCGGAGTTAGAGGCCTGCGCATTGCCAGCGCGAGACTGCTTTCGCTGATGGGAAAACTGCCCTCCATTGTTTGTCTCCACATCTGTCTCTGCCACGTTCTTGAAGGTGATTATACATTCCACATCTTCCCCTGAAAATATAGTCTGGTCTTTCCACTTCACAAAGACCTGTATGTCCGATTGCATGGCGAGGGTCGCAGCGTCACCATGTGGGCGGTGGAGGAAGAGGTGGAGGGATATAGGAGTCTGGGGGGTGACAGCGGATACCAGCCACCACCTGTATTGGAATTAGCGGAGGTAGTCTCACGCATACGCCAGCATCGGCATGCCGTCATACGTTAAACGAAGCAGGCCATTTTCGGAATGTTGTATGGTTAGAGGGCAGAGGAAGAGCTGGATGCGCTCTGATCGGGGAGCAGTCGGCTGGTCTTGATGGGGAAGACTCCCCAGACTGCGTGGCGCTACCGCTCAGCTAACATGGAGTACTGCCATGGACAAAGGTATTAATATTATTCGCATCTACTCCTACAGTCTACAGAGCGCTCTGAACATTATTCAAGAACTGTGCGTAGATACAAAATTAAGCATTATTGTCTTGTGTCTCTCAAATCACCACAAACCGGAGAATTATCACTTGATTCCACTAATCGTTCTCGCATTTCCCAAAGTTGGAGAATGTTCGAGCTCACGCAACTAAGAATAATCACGGGAGCCCGGAGGATTTGATGCAGGGTGCTTTTATCATTAGGTAGGATTATGGTACACTATAATACATAGACATCGAAGTCTCAAGCAGAATGCCAGGTGAACATGGTAGGCATAGCTACTTAAAGAGGCTTATCATACAATACCTTCACGTCCGAGAATTTATCTGCGCGGCGCTTTGGAGGCCTGAGACCCAGCTCAGCCATCTGACTCCAAATGCGATCATGTCTTCTGTCCCACCGTTCTCGTCTTTTTTCCATCTCTTCTGGTGAAGGCCGCCATTTGCTCTTCAAAATCCGTCTGATTGCTTCCGGAGAGACCTGAAACTGTTCAGCAAGCACAGGTGTGGTGAATCGCTCCGGTGCAACAGCGTGTAGGTGTCGAATCCCTTCCAGCGCGTCGGGCGATAGCTTCTTCGGCGGATTCCAGCCCTCCTTGAATTTCTTCTTCAGGGCTTCCTTTTGGATCTGCCACAGCTCTTTCTTTTTCTTCGATTTGGAGAGACTGGAAAGGTTGGATGTTCGAGGGGCTTGTGAGCGTTTCTTATCTGAGGACTCGTTTGCAGTTGGCTTTGGTCCGACCGCTGCTTCTGAGGCAGACGCTTTCATGTTGTTCACAGCATCTGCGTGAGGGGAAGAGCCATCAACGTCAGGCGGATCGCGAGATACTCTTATATCGCCAGCACCAGACTTGGCTGGTTCGTCGGGTTGTGGAGCACTGCTAACATTTGCAGCGCTCGAAGGAGTATGTGGTTGTTTGGATGAAGTAGGTATATGGTCGGCCAGGGTCAGCGAGCTGAACTGTCGAGCCCCTCTGATTCTGCGATAGGCCAAGGGTGCTCGTTGCACGGTGAGGAGACTTTTGTACTCAGAAAGAGGTCCAAAATCGGCGGCGAACTCAGAGCGAAAGACATTTCGCAATAGGGTAGAAAGATTGAGTCTTGACGACGCGACACATATACTGCTTGCCATAACAAGGACTTGTTTTGCAGATTGTACGAGAAAGATACCCCTGTAGGCAGAGATCAAAGAGGAAATGTGGCAAGAGACGATTGTTGTTGATATGGAGCAGCAAGAAAATACTTTGGTCTGTTGAATTCAGAATTGCTTCTCGAAACGGCCTAGAACATTATGGCCTGAGGCAGCCACAAAATATCATGTGACTATTCAGCCAGTGTATGGAGCTCAAGGAAGCACTCTATGAACCATCACAAAAATTTCCTAGATCTACCTGATTTACTGACGCTGAAGTAAGAGAACAGCAGCACAAGTCAGCAATCAAGCATATACTGCAGTCATCTCATACTCTAGGCTATTGAAGCAGGGGCTTGAGGGTATTGAAGATGTGCCTCATCTTTGCCTCATCTGAGTACAGTATGCCTCCACAGAATAGATATTGACACCTGATGTAGGCCAGCACTGGGGGATTTGAAAAGCACTAGAAGAACCCCTGCATTTATGCCACGTCTGCTAACTGTTCTTGTGTGAAGCTCAATGCTTTGATTGCTGTCAAAGGAAGGCAGTAGATACCTTAGGCAGGCGTTGGTCTTAGGCTGGAACCCTGGGAGGCCTCAGGCTTATGGATAGCCTTATGCTAACCTTGTCTGGAAGATCAACGCGGTATTACGGTTCACTGCTAGGGCCCTGGGTCCCAAGAAGATTGAGGTATGCAATTGAGAATCTCTAGATGTAGACTCCGATAATCTGAAATGCCTCTGACCCCTCAAGTCTCCGTCAATTCTCATGGTGAAAGTCAAGTAAGGAGAGCTCCAAGTCCGGAGTACAGTTGTTTAGTGTGGATCACCGCAGCTATCTTGATGGTTCCCGCGCCAATCTACGAATCTATAGAGCTTTAGAACCAACCCTAGTCTATTTTCAGGATTAGAAGACAAACTAAGATGCCCAAATGAATCAGCATCAAGACCGAAAAGTCAGTGAAAATATGAGATGTCAGTCTTTCACGGCCAGGGCTTGGGAAGCTGCTTGTCACTGTGTAGTACCCACATTCCCATTCGCCCATCCATTCTCTGCCGAGAGGAATCACTGGAATGTGCTGCTGCTGAACTCGAGCTGGAGCTTCCCCTCCTTGAGAGAGAGTGTGTGTGTGCTATGTGAATGGGTGTATTTACTCCTGCTTTATCCCTATCACCCAACCCTTTCTTTTTCTTCTCATTCTCATACTTCTCTTTGTCTGCGTCACTCCTTTAAATAAGCATTGTGATTGTTTTTCCATTCTCTGGGCCCACGCTCCTTCTCGACCCTCTGATCACTCTTGTTCATTCTTTTCGACCACTCTTCTTTCAGCTGAACTCAAACTGTGCTGATCGCAAGACGACTCTTTTATTATACCCATTTTCATGCAATCTGACTCTCCGCAAACTATCAGTTTACTCGATCATTATCAGAATTCGCTTACGAGCACGACTGACAAGGGTATACTGGATGACTCCATTGGTAGTAGCTTTGACAGGCGATCCCAGCGTCACGACAAATGCAAACACGCTCTCTAGCACTCTCAGGGGCACGTGAATATCCGCAATCTGAATTCGGCTCTGAATGGGATGGCGAGTGGCTCATTGACATTCAAAAGCAAGAATGCTGGCCCGGGTTCGTCCCTACGCATCACTCCCTCCAATTCGCCCGGTGTGAGAGCTCCCCGGTCTCCTAACAAGGTCTCCTTGCACCAATCCACCCTATCCCTCCGGACGGTAATCGGTACGACTACGACGAACCCGAACGGCTTTTCCAGCCACGACCAAAGCAGATCGTTTGCGCTATGCGCCGGTTCGGCGGCCATTCTGGCGGAGCTGGATGATGAGAACAATGTAAACCAACGCTTTTTCAAAGCACGACCCTCCGCGAGCAGCATCAATCCCGTTACGTCTTTCTACAACCAATCTACGCCTCCATCGACGCCCGATACGAGAGCGAAATCGATATCCAGCATCAGAGCAAATGCGCACAGTAACACCCACAATGGATCTCCGTCCAGTGACCTGGCCGAGAGTAACAGCCCGCGTTCCTGGTCGTCTAGGGAAAGGATAAAGGCGGTTACCAGTGTGTCGATCAGCCCGAACGGGAGATTTCTTGCTGTAGGAGAGGTGGGTGGCATTTTCTTTGGACAAGTGAAGAGCGTGGGTAGTCAGCTAATCTGAAAAACAGACTGGATACAGCCCGCGAGTCTTGATCTTCTCTACGGCGAAAGACGCATCCCCGGAGGTTCCCCTGTCGATTTTGACCGAGCACACCTTCGGCGTTCGCAGCGTCTCTTTTAACTCTAACTCCCAATATCTCGCCACTCTTGGAGAGGTGAATGACGGTTTTCTCTTCGTGTGGGCTGTAAGTCTGAAGTCCGGATCGGCCAGGCTACATTCGACGAATAAGTGCATCAACATTGTTCGCCACATGGGCTGGACGGGACAGAGTTTAGTCACGTATGTCGTTGGACCCAATCTCTGCTCGTTACAGGTAGCAAGGCTAACTAATGTGGCAGCGTCGGCGTTCGACATGTGAAGGTATGGCGCCTCCCGGAAGCAAGACCTGTATCGCCATCGAAGTCTCGCCTGAATGCGGATCCGACCGCCAGTTCTCCCAGCCTGGCTCCGAAAGCGCTTTCGGGACGAAGCTGTCTCCTCGGGTCCTTCGGAAATTGCATATTCACCTGTGTCGCAGGCATATCAGACAATGAAGCTGTGGTAGGCACCGAGGACGGTGCTCTCTGCCTCCTGGACGACAGCGAGGTATCTCCAAGACTATCTCTGATCAAGTACGTGGGGTTCAGCATCTCATCTTTGACCATTGATCCGGATCGCGGTTGTCTCTGGGTCGGTGGTCGGGAAAAGAGGATGCAGAAGTTCTCTTTGGAGTCACTCCGGCCGACGAGCCCGATTTCGCCAGGTCCTTCCGGTCGAACCTCAGCCGGTAAAAAGGCCAAGGGACCTGCGATTACTTGTATGGGATCCCTAGGATCGCATCTAGTGACAGTCGATTCCAGCAAAGAAATCCAGATTCATCGGGTAGAGTCAATAAGTAATGATGGCGAGAGACCACTTGCGATTGCCGCTCATAAAGATGCGGTTCTCGGCATTTCTCCGTTACCAGACCTCAATGAACTCCAGGCCGACTTCTTCACGTGGTCATCCAAAGGGACCGTGAATTTTTGGGATACAAAGGGTAGGTGTAAAGAGTCTAGAACAGTCCCGGTAGAGCAACTTTCGGGCAATGATGAAAGTCAATCAAATGGATTGAAAATTTTGAGGGCGACTCCAGATTTGAAGCTCTTCGTGTCGGGAGATAAGATGGGTGTTTTGAGGTATTCAACCACTCTTTTCATTGAATCAAAAAGCATAGCGAGGTGAAACACTGACCTTGGAGCTTAGTATCCTCTTAGGACAGTCATGGAAATGTGTCAATCAGATTCGGGCTCACGAGGCAGAGATCACAGACGTGGCCCTTCACTCGGCCCCCGATTGCTGTCTCATTGCCAGTTCTGGTCGAGATCGCATGGTTCAGCTTTTTCGTAGCACTGAAGAAAGCTTGGAACTTGTGCAGACCCTGGATGATCATGTCGGATCTGTGAACCAGTTACTTTTTATCAAGAATGGCGAGAAGCTTCTCTCGTGCTCCTCAGATCGCACAGTGTTCGTTCGAGAACGCATGACTCGAGAAGCCAGCGGGGAATCAGCTGTTGCATATCTGGCATCCAGGACTGTCACACTTAAGGCGTCTCCGGTCTCCATGACTCTATCTACAGAAGATCCAAATATGCTAATCATATCCACCGTTGATCGTTGTATACAACAGTATGATCTTGATTCAGGGAAGCACATTCGCTCTTTCCGGACTACCGACTCAGATTCAAACGACACCGTGGTCATGACTGCTCTGAGCATGGCTTCCCAGATTCCAGGGCAAAGTCCCACGCTGCTTATCGGAGTCGCAAGCACGGACAAATCAATTCGCGTGTACGATATGGAACGCGAAGTGCTTCTTACTGCCGAGTTTGGGCATGCAGAAGGCGTGAGCGATGTTTGCTTACTGACTAGAGATTCTGATTTCCTCGGGAAACCTACTAGTCGAACACTGGTTAGCGCTGGTATTGATGGTGTAGTCATGATATGGCATTTACTGGTGCAACCACAGCAATCTCAGGATTATACCCAAAACAATCTATCAGAGGAAGAAATCGACGCTGGGTCGAAGAATCTGACAGTCTCCAAGCCGCCTCTGCGCAAGATTCTATCCAAACACGAGCTTGCTGGATTTCAGCGACAAGACAACATCACAGGAACCCCAACCCCAGTGCGGGACTCCTCACAGTTCTTGACTCACAAGATTTCCAAAATCTCACTCACACCCTCTTCCTTGAAAAATGAAAATATGGCACCGGCTACGCCTTCTTTTTCTTCAAGATCTGACTGTCGCCCTCCCCCTTCTCAATCTCGCCTTGAGAAGTTACGCAAGTCACCATCCCCAACCACAAGGTCCACACCCGGTAAAAAGCTCAGCAAATCAAGCAATCATACTCGTCGAATATCCTTGGACTTCCGCTCCCGTGGCCGAAACTCGTCAAAGAGTGAATCTGGGGGTCTGAATTTGTCTACCGAGCAGGTTTGCCGCACATTGAAGGCTTACAGGAAAAAGCTGCATACCTCTACAGAGCATCTCCACTCCCAGAAGGAACTGGAGCGCGAACTGGACCTCACACTTCGAGTCCTGGCTGCTCGAACTAAGAATTGTGGAAATATGGAGACTGAGACGGACAGCAGCGGAAAGGAAAATGACAGCAAACATAATTCCCTACCAGGTCCACATCGAATACACTCGACTTCGAATCTGCGCCAAAACGGCGCTTATCAGCGCTCGAGAATCGTATGTTCTAATGATAATGGCGAAAATTCGAGCGAATAGCGGATTCGTTGCTTCCAGTGTCTTGCATTTCTCATGCATTCATCTGTCCTCTTTATTTCCTTTACCTTCGCCAGCACTCTTACTATAGGTCAATCGCTTAGTTTTTTGCGACATGGCACATCACCCTTTCTGCCCATTGCACAATGCTGCGATTCGTTCTCGGTCTTGCCGTTAGCTACGGCAAAAGATCGATGGTGTTTGAGGTTGGATTATCACATTTTTTTGCATCCTATTTATGGGTATGTGGCGAATCAGACAGACACTGGAAGCAATTTACAACGAAGAATTTCCTACCTGGCCTCTATGGTCCAGGTTTTCCTTTCAAGCCCTCTTTTCAAGCCTAAGTATATAACCGAATTGTGAACACTCCCGTAGGTCAATATATAAGCGAGTGAACCTCAAACAGTACCTCACAAGAGCTTGGCATAGTTTTGCCGCAGCAGTCTCAACAGCGCACCATCATCCTTTATCAAACCAGCCAGTGTCAACGCAATCTCTCCCCATTTTCGACAGTCCTCATCAGCCGAGGCAAGATAGAAATCGACCGCTCCATTAAAAGCCACGGTTGCGAGCCATTTCAGCTCGTCGCTCGGATATACAAACGGCAAGTCTGTGTCTGCTGAGCCATCGCGAGTTAGGACGACAGCTTGGTTAAGGACTGATTCTGCCAATGAGTAGTCTGTTGCCTCTAGAGCTATTTGAAACAGGCACCGTAGATACCGGGGGAGTTTCTGGTGGAAGTCCCCAGCGCCGAAGAATGGAGACGGCGATGAGTGGAAGATGCAGATTATATCCTGTGCTTTCTTTAGATTTACTATTGACACAGGACGAGGTTTTCACGACGGTCGGTGAGGATTGGGGTTCTTGGGAAGTACCTTGACAACCTGTGCGATGTTGGGAGCTGACGCTCCAGAGCGGAGGATGCACTCTAGGAATGCTGAGCACAGCTGGTCGTCGAGGATCGTGTTGGCTCTCTCGATTATGTTAGGGATGTCGTTCCATTGCTTGAGATTGATGGCTGCCTCGAAGTCGAAGGCGATCAGGAGGCGATGCTTCTTGATCCATGCCTCTCGTTCGCGTACAGTGTTGCATGTATCAAGTTGAGCTTGAATGTGGGTTCCGAAGCGCTGGACGGATTGGCGGATTTGCTCGTAGGCCTAATTATTGTCAGTCCGCTGCATCTCAAACAGATGGCTTGAAATAACGACCTTCGCAGAAGAGGGAGTATGACCACGGGCCTCGGCTATCAAGTTGTTGGACTTGACGTACTCGCCAAGGAGATACATAAAGGCTCGGTCTTTGATTCCGCTCTTTTTGTGGTATAGATCTGTGAACTATGCTGATGTTAGAGGATATTGGATCGTCCTCCATGTTGAGGTTACCTTGAGGGATATGTCTAAGAGATGTAGGACAGGCTCTGAAGGGGAAGTTCTATGTATGTCAATGGCTACGTTGTAGCTCTTCCTCGCAAACCATTCTAGTTCACTGGCTGAACAGAGTGGCAATGTTCCTTCGTTGTTGGCACATTTAAAAGCTAATTCGGCTTAGTATTCGGCTTCCTGCGAATTGCGCTGGAGCTCACCTTTCTCAAATGTAGATATGAGATGGGCTATTGATGGCGCATTGTCGCGGTCCTCTATCTCCAAGAGTTGACAAAGCAAGATTATGCGATGAATTAGCTCAGTAACCATTTGCCAAAGACGGGTAACACATACTGGAACAATGTTGAGACCGGTACTTCTCCAAGCAAATCGTCATCCATGCCTGCTATAAGCTGCTGAAGACATTCGATCGTAAATCGAGTATTTCCTGAGCGACGAGCCTCTGCAGTACATGAAGAGAGATATATCTTTCCCTCTTCCCCTAGCTCGCTCAAGGACTTGAGACATGTTTGCCCTGTAGTTCGGTTAAATATTCGACAGTAAAAGAACACTCTGTAGACATACCAAGAGTATAGTCGTTATCTCGTAAAGCTACCCCATACAGCATGTACAGCGTAGATGCTGAGGATTTGCATTCTTCGAGGTGTCTAACAATGACTTTATGCGCCTCAAGCGTGCTTGAATCATCTCGGGCGCAGGAGATCAGTTTCCTGTTAAGATCACGTTAAGTAATCTCTCTGCAGAGAACGTTCCCCGGCCTAAGAATGCCTACCTTAGAAATTTGCCTTCACTATCAGAGGATATTTGGAGTAGAGGCTGTTCTAGCAGAAATTCACAGCATCGCTTTGCGAGGAATATATCTCCCTTAGATATCGCTGTATCGATGTGCTTCCAGACCAGCTGCGTCAACAGTCAGCTACTGCAAATGTATGCCAGTTTCACATGGATTCACAATCGAGCAAGCATTGGTTGTCTCTTCGCTCAGAGGTTGATGTCCACGCTCAAACAGACTCTGAGTCACATCTTTCATGACAGCGATGCAATCGAGAGCGCAGGGATAAGATTCGGTCAATGCCCAAACGAGGCTGACGAACGAGCGCTCTATCCATGTTCTTTTGTCTGAAACAGCAAGCTTATCACACAACATCTGCTTGATCCTTTCCAGGAAGAGCTGGGGCCTTCCTTGTCAATACCATTATGTCAGAGAACAATACATGAAATCCTACCTGGATTCCTTGAGCTTATGGATGAAGTATAGGATACTATTTCTCCTTCAGACTATGAGTATACCGAATCAAGAATGGAGACGTACGTCTTAATATCAGCATCGTTGGGCTCCAGAGCGGCAATGGCGCGTCGAAGGACTGAAAGTATTGATGAGCGGTGGCACACATGCAGGATATGCTTTGTCTTCTTACTTTCAGCATATTCTTCGCAGTCGGAAATATTCTCCTTGCTGAGAATCTCAAGTTGAAGAACATGAACTTTGAAGGAATCATCATATTCCTGCAAATTGTCAGCAGCAGGATGACACGGTTTTCTTCGCCTTACAGTTTTCAAGCACACTACTGCTCTGTCAAGACGACGCTTTGCGTCTGCCGTATCGAGATGAAGACTAACCCAAGCTGCAAGACGTCAGCTCACCCAAGAAACCATGGGTTCATGGCAACTTACCGAAAGCAATCAAGACCTGGAGCTTTCTATCCTTCAGGTCCGGATTGACTTGTTGGGTTTCCTTCTGAAGAAGCTCGCTTGAGCTCAGAGCTCTTTCAAGCCATCGAGCTGCCACATCAAACTGCCGACGTGTGATTGCCTGGGCCCCAACTTGATAGCAGATATCCATAACAGTCTCTTGATGACCGCCTGGGCTCGCTTGCGGGACCTTGGAGAATAAATGCTCTGCAATATCGGATCTTCCTTGCAGCCAGGACTATGCCGTCCAAGTCAGCTATATCAATATCGTGCGTGAGAGGCTCATTACCAAGTAAACACGCAGCATGTAGTATTCAGTCGTGTAGGCTTCTACTTTCGCTCCGTTGTGGCTGCTCTTGTTTCTAGACATATCATTTAAGCGTGCAGCCGCTACACCGATGATCTTCTGACTCAGATCCAAATGTCCCTGATCTGCATCAAATGCCATCGTCAGCGTTAGAACTTTGCAAGGGATAGATGAGACCCACCCATACAAGTACGGGCTGCTCTCAAAGCAAGCTCGAAGCTTCGGCTGTTCCCTGCGGAAAAACTTCAGTAACGGTCACCTATTCGCACAGGTGAACTCATACCTTGATTGTGGGCTGACGTGGCACAGTCGATCATTGCAAAAGCAAGAGCTTTCACTGCGATTGTCAGAATTTCTGCAGAAGAAGCAAGCTGCGAAGATTTCAAACCTTTACTCATTAGCTTCAGCTCGGAATTGTCAGCAGAAATTGCTATGAGTTGTGTGCAAGTATTCCATAGCTTCGTTCCTTCAGTGTCCAATTGACGACGGATGGTTGATGAGGGTGCCACTATGAACAAGGGTATCTCGCCGAGATAGTTGTTAAGAAGTTCGACAGATGTATCCGCTATCAGGGATTGTTCAGAGGTGCTGGCATTGGAGAGCCAAGTTTGTATTTGCGTAGCGAGCGCTGATGGACGATGAATGATTAGAGAACATGGATGAAGAGAGTATGGGGGTAGATTATGCTGTGATCTTACCTAGGACACTGAGTGCACGTTCTTGAAGATCCTTGGATGACATTGTCGCCATATCACAACGGTTGCCACTGTAGTCGAACGGTTGGAACCTTGGCTATGCCACTCGGGTGATGAGAAAGCAGTGCTTCTACTGAGAATCTGACGGTATACATTGCACAGATATCTTAGTTGCAAGACCGCAGTTGCTGGATGATACTATCAGCTTCCTAGGAAATTGGCGTTCACCTGACTGGACTAGTCCAGAATCAACGTCAGACACATAGACATGAGAGTATACGATATATCATCACTCCGACACTTGATTAATAAAATTAGTTCCTCGAAGAGCTTTGGAGGCTATGTAACATCTTTTTTTCCCCCTTGATACCGTGCAAGCGTCACCGAAAGGATATCGAACAAAGTTCTCTAGTAGCTCTCATATGGACGAAGCCCTGAGCCGTAAGAGAAGAGAAGAGAATAAGAAAAAGGACGAGCACGAGAACTATGTACCGGAATAGCTCGAATAAAAAAGCCTAATCCCACTAAATACGCCCGTAGATAGACCAATTTTCAATTCCAGGTAATCATTTGCTTTTTCGTTGTGACGGTAGGAAGTTGCCGATGATGAGTGAAGGACTAGGTGAACTGTCAGTGGAATTCTCACACTTGCAACGGGTGTTCTTGGAGCACCCACATATTATGATTGTCCCTTCGAATTGTGAAAGAGAAGCAACACGGAATCCCGTTCCCGGGATTACTCGAATTTGGATTCTTCAGTGTGCAGCTTGTGAGCATTGCTTTTTGAGTGTTGTCGAACGCAATAGCGCCGAATTTCTCCCAGTAGCTCACAAGCTGATCCTCAACAATGATCTCGTGGATTGCCAGCTTGCCATCTCGCAGACTCTCTATTGGCACGCCGATAAGTTCTGCCATCTCCTTGTTGCCGCGGAAGATCTCCCCCGTTCGCCTCCAGCAGCAGGCGGGAATCGCCATACTGGCAAAGACACGGTCATATTCCATCAGACTTCGTTCGAACCACATCTCCACGAGAATGAGTTCGATATCGGTCAGGCTTTGCATTCTCTCCCTGAATTTAGGTCGGAATTTGTCCAGCTGCCGCAGAATCTTCTGCCGAGACGATTGCTTCATGTTTTTCTCCATGTATTGGTTCAAGCGAGCGTAGCCTTTCACATAGTTGAAAGGCTTCAGGAGACCAGCATCATATTTGGCCTTGAGAAGCTTGTTCATCCGCTCTTCCGGTGGGTCTGAACCTGAGGGATCCGCCGCAGTCATATAATACGTCTCTCTTGCCTTATCGTTCACCACCGTGGAGCTTGGACCTTGAACCGAATCGTTTTGGGGTGGTTGACTCTGCGCCGGCTGAGGGGGCTGAGCTTGCTGCAGTAGACCCGCATTATCCAGATTGGCCATCGAATTGATCAACGTTGGATCGGAGTATATCCCATGTAGATTATCATTCGGGAAAATCCCCCCATCATCTAGAAGGCTACTGCTGAGAAAGTCTCCTAGGAGGTTGTATTCGTTTGTGACTTCCGGGGCATTGAACATGTATGAGGGGTGGAAGGTGTGCATATCCTGGAATTGGCTTTGTCCTCCGAGCCAGTCGTTGTAGCCCAGCACTGTTCTCCATCATTAGCACCAGCCAGAAAATACAGGCAGCTACCTTAGAGCTTACGCTGTTGAGAGTTGGCGCCTATGCTGTTTTGCGCTGAGGAGGAGGGGATGTTATGCTGCACAGCATTGACAGACGGAGGGGGAAGGGCGATAGTTCCATCGGGAAGGATTTGCTGTCCGGCAGCATCTTGGACATCGACGTTTCTAGGCATACCTTGAACATTTGAAAACTCATTGTTCGAATGACCCTCCTCTTCAGCCGTTGAATGTTCGTGTTCGCTCCGCGCCCGCTTTGAAGGCTCCCTGGGTTCGTCATGACACAAGTGGCCAATGTTGCGCTTTATACACCGCGTGCACGGCCGTTCCTTTATTTCATCCAAGATAAGAAAGTCAGCTAAGACCGTTTCGTCAAAATAGAAGCCTGCGATACATTTCACGGAGGCAAGCTGAAGGAAATGGTTCAGGAAGGTCGTACCGAATCGCAAGTCATATGCTGTGCCACGTGAGCAAGTACCCTGCCGTTAGCAAATGAATTCCCGCAAAGTAGGCCTTATAGTGACGATTGAGAGTCGCGATGCAGGAGTACGTGAAATCAAGAATAAACGAGGTCAATTGGGCAAGATGTAGGCTTACCGATCGTCGACAGTAGACGCATGCTGCAAAAGCGTGGCACGGTGGTCAGCAACGTGGTCTAAGATGCGAACGCGGAGAGCGGCCGCTGCCAGAATCCTTGCAAGATGCATAGCAAGGACGGTTCCTTACCATGATTAACTTTGCGACGCTTCTTGGGGCTGGAGTGAGTCCCCGCGGCGCTATTGTCAGCTTTCACCGGTGGTGAGGCAGTATTCCTTGAGCCCGACTCCATTCTTGATGAGTCCCCTTCCGCCGTATTCAGTTTGGCATTCTCCGTCGTGCCATTACGCGGCTGTTCGTCCGGGACCGTGCCCGTCTGCGCGGCGCCGTTCTCTGTCATCGATCGCTCTTGATCTGGCCGGGCGCAAAGCGGTTGCGCAAAGTCCGGCTTGCTGGTGTCGCTTTTGGTGGTAGGAACACGAAGGAGCAAGTCCGATGGCGACCTGCAGACATCGATCACTTTAGAGGAAGATAAATCAGACACATTTGCAGGAGAGGACAGCAGGTGCTGAGCTGCGAGCTGAGAGGTGCGACGACGAGCGACTGTGATCACCTCATACTCAGTTTTCCCCGCCGAGATGACTACGGACGGCGGGCGGGCTGCCCGTCTTTTTCCCGGGCTCCTCCGCATTGGGGGAACCACCGCGGCGGAACTTGTTCCTGCTTTCGGGATGGGTGCCTCGGGCATGAGCCATGAGCCATTATTATTGTACCGTCTTATTACCAGGCGTCAACGATCAGCCATACGCCATCAGCAAACGAAGGCTGCAGGGCCATGTGCTACAGGCTACCTCGGTCTGAATCTCATTGTGTTACACAAACTTCATACAGAGTACTTACTGATAATTATCATTTGTACGTATTTTGAAAGCGCTAAAAGACTTGGACTTTAGTAGAGCCAAGTTCTATGCTCTGTTCAGCTATTGCGAAGTACGGGGGAATCGTAGGCAATCCACAGGCAACCCAATTCTAAATCAACAAAATCTACTCCGTATAGAGTATGCTCCCATCTGTTCGGTAGAATAAGGCTGTCGCGGATGGATTGTTTCGAACCAACCACGCAACCACAAGAACATTGTCAGAATTTGATGTGATTAGGCCGAGGCAGCCATGCCCCGTCTGGCGCTCTGTTAGGTGATGAAAGTAGGTATCTAGGTACAAAGTAGCACCTTCAATTATACTTCATCGGACGGATCTAAATTCTGCCATGGGCAGCTACTCGTATTTGGTTCACTTTTTGACGAAGTGAGGCCCTGATTCTCCCGTTTCAGGTCATGCACCAATGCTGCCGTTACACAACTGCAGCGAAGATCAGGCAAGCTTCTTGTAAAGTGGACAAATGGACAGGATGTTCTGGGCTGTCTTGAAGCATCTGTAACACCTGTTCGGTTGGGTTTGCCACGGATTTGAGGTTGAGGTTTGTTTGTAGAGCAGCTTCCTTTATGGAGAGCTCGAGGCCAGTTTGACGGTCAGATACTGAGCTCAATTTGAGCTGTGGTGATATAGGATGCTTCAATCAGGGTGCTTCGGGTGCTGAAAATAGACTGAGGACTGCTTCCGATCGGGTGATTGCGTCCTTCAAGCCAGTGAGAGGGGCGACATTGTTCTGCATCGATTTCAGATGGCCATTTAATTGTTTCAACAAGCCTGAGATTTCCGGATCGTTCTCCAGCTAGAGATAGATGTCAGAAAAAAGTCAGGCATTTACATAACCTATTTGGTCCATACCTCATCGAATGCTGATTGCGAGTCTTTTGCTTCCAGAATTGTAAAATGAGCCCCTGGGCCCTGATTCTTGGGGATATCATCGAGCTGCCGAAGCGCCGGATGCTCCTTCAAAAAGGATGAGCGACATCTTCTATGACCAGAAGCTTTCAAGAGAACTCACATTTTTCATTTGTCGTTTCCTTTCTGCTTCGACTCGATTCGCGTTTTTCTCCATCTCCTGCAGTTGCTTTGTTTCCTTGGCCAGTAAGGCCTCTTCCCTCTCAATTTCTGCCTTCAAGAGATCAACACTATCGGTCATAGTTGCTAAGCTAGATTCAAGAGATACCTGGGTTGAATATCAGTATGGCACCACACAATTCCAAAAGAAATCACATACATGCTCATTCAGCGCCGCTTCATATTCAAACACCGACTCCTTTGAGACAGGAGGAAACGGCATTCGAGGAAGTCGCTTTCCGAGACTTGAAAATTGAATAAGTCAGTCACTTAATTACCATATGTCTTACAATCAAGATCGCGCGACAGATTCACAATGCTCAATGATCGACATACTTCCTGACAACTGCCTGCACCGCCGCCTGCGCTTCGATGCGTTTACGCTCATTCTGCTGCCGCACGATGACCGGACGTTCGAGCGCTCGAAACAAATCACGAATCTTGTCTTGAACGGGCTCGGGGAGCGTTGTCCATTTCGACTTGATAGTGCGCTCGGAAACCTGCCGGACTTGGGGCTTCAGGTACGCGAAACGCTTGTTGCGCGCTGCATTATCATGCGCGTCATTTTCTCTGGAACGCTTTCTCTTTGGGGGCATTGCGCTGTTTCTCAAATCCTCAGTTTGAAACTCCAGAATAAATTGTGGATGATGGGATTCAAGATGAGTGTGTTATTCTAAGTCCGCCAAGGAGTGTTCTTGGTTGCTTTTGATGCACCGCCAACAACGCGCTACTAGTAGACACTGTCACATGCTTTATCAGCTGTGGACTAACCACATTGAGCCCGTGAGGCACAATCAACATCTGGATACGGTATTGCCAGAATCTACGGAGTACATAGAGTATCTATTCCATAGCACGAGAACATGCTCTAAAAAAGTACGGCTCAACGAGAGGTGTCGATCCCTCATGGGTGCTTTTCAAGATATCACAATAGGAATGAAGATATATTGCACTCGAACTCTCCTCAGTGCTGAGATCGTTCGTTCTATATCTCTGAGCTATCCACATAAACAATCGTTGCAACCTTAGACCATGCTGTCAACATATCGTAGATCAATGTGTACACATTCGGCCTGAGCCTGGCAGTATTTGATATGATGTCGAGATATCTCAAGGGTATAATGCTATATACCAGTAATATGAATTAGGAGAAACCAACATTATTGTGACACCAAGGGCAAATGTTGCCGATGTCTGATTTCAGATCCGCTGAAAGAGAACGCCTGCGTTTTCCTCTGGGCAATGTGGACACTCTCGAATCGCTAAAACGCTTTAATATAAGAAAATCGAGGATAAAACCATGTCTTGCAAGGGATTAGAATGAAAAGATATCGTCATCGCGTAACTGGTTCGGTGATCATCGTGGCATCACTAAGCCGTTCATCGTCTTTAGTTCTGCTAGTTGTGCCTTGAGTATTTCGTTCCCTCGTAATATATCCTCGAGCCAGTCAGCAGCCTGCGTGAGCATTGCGCTTTTGCTAAAGCCACCGCCCTTCAGCCCAGGCACAAGTGAACATAAATCGTCAAAGCCTTGCCGAATGAGATTCCTGCGCTTTTGTTCTGACAGAATGTGATTGTTCCTCTTCTGCTCTTCTGTGAGATTCTCACGGGCGGTTTTTCCTCCTTGCTGCAGCTTGGGCTTTCGGATTGTGTCATTCGATGTTCGCCTCGGTTTGCCACTAGCCGAGCTCTTTGACCGTCTTGATCTTGGTCTCATGCTATCTGCATCGGAGAGCTCATCGTCTTCTTGCTTGATCGAGGTCCTTTGTCTTTTCTTTGGCTGCGAATAATCATCTAGGGCGTGATCATATTCCCTTTGTAGGCTGTTGAGCGGACCCGGCCCGCCGGACTCTCCCCAATGAGTATTGTAACCACCTACTGTCCGCTCCGGGCTAGGTGCTCGAGTGTTCGCAGCGCTACTTTGAGGTTCGAGGCACTCCAAGTTCCCAAGTAGCTCTTTTGTCCGCTCTTCTTCATTCGGTTGATCAGGCGGCGCAATGTAGCCCTGATCCATAAAGCTAACATCAGAGCCCCAGTGGAGTGGGCGTACCTTTGCTGATGCTTGCTGTTCGGCGGAAATCGGTTCGCGTACGTCAAATAGCATCTCCGAGGTATGAAAGCCAACAGGTAGACGCGTATAGGTAGCGCTCGGCTGTTTGGAAGATAGGTGGTTGTTGGACTGCTGAGGTTTACCATGACCGTTTGAAATGGAATGGTTGAAATTGAGATCTGGCATGGATGGGAATTGCTGCTGCCCGAATCCCGTGTTGATGTCAGGCCCTGCCATCCCGTTCTGATAGAGCATGGAAGCTGCGGCAAGTATGTCCGAGTTGGCGCCCTGGTTATTCGGGACAATGCCTGATTTCTCTATTCCTCGATGGGAAAGTGGCGGTTGCCCAAGCGAAGTGGTGGAGCCTTCAAATGTAGGCGGCAGTTCAGTTGACCACTCGAAATTGACCGGATCAAGGAATTTATTGGGCTGGTTGCGCAGCCAGAAATCATCTGTGAAATGACTTGAGTTCATCGTAGTGAAGAAATTATCCAGCATGTTTGATTCATTGTCATCAAGAAGAGCTGGACCCGGAGGTGGCGCGGGTGCAGGTTCGTATGGGGTGTCCATTGGGGATAAGAACGAATCTAGGAAGCAAAATCAGTTAGAGATATAGCAATAGAATGGGTTCTCTCAGACCACATACAACCAAAGGGTCCGAGTTGGTTATCGGTTTGCCCAGGACGGGGGTCGGGATCTTTCATATTCATTGTAATGTGTAAAGGAGCGACGGATTGGAGGATCGTCGTGATAAAGCCTCGAAAATGATCGCTGCCCTGGTAGTCTCAAGCAGGCCTCAGAGAGAGGCAAGATGCGCATGCCTCGAGTGGCCGTAAGTGTCAGGAAGCAAATCTCTCGGATCGCAAATACTGAACACAGCCAATACAGCAGCGTGCGATTTGGACGATCCCAGAGCATTCGAAGCAGCACGGGTGGCTAGATGCTGCGCCAAAGAAAGACAGCGTGTTTTCTGTTCAGATATAGTACGAAATATGATCAAAAAGGTACAAGACTTGATCGCGGGGCACACAGTGCGTTTAAAAACCGATAATAACGGGTATCATACAGATCATCAACAACCCGACAAGATCGTTCCCCGCATTTAAATTCATATGCAAAAAAGAGGAAGAAGCAGAAATATGACGATGGGAATCTGGAGAGAGTCTAGGACTCTTGGTACATACTCCGTAGTTTGGCGGAGAAGGAAGAATCCGTCGGTCTTTTCGAGTCGATCACATGCAAAAAAATCACGCGCTCTAGTTGGCTGAGAAATGAGAAGGTCGCGTGATGTAACTATATTACCAGAATTACGCCTCTATTCTGGCAATTTCGGTGGGTAGGCGGTTATGGCCCTGTAATTTCCTGTCATGGATATTCTCGGAACCATTTCCCAGAGCAGAAAGAGCAGCGATGGCTTCCAACTGTCATGAAACTGGTTCTTGAGCTGCTTCTCTCATACAGTCATAATATGGGAGAGTTTGAAGGAGGCTGTTTTTAGATCTCTTTGATCATCTGAATCTCCATGTTCCAAGTTTAAGGCTTGGGAGACCTCAGCTTTGTGACCCTGCTACTCCAAAGTACCGATGATCGTCGTCGGCCATTACATCGTCTAGTCCTTAGTTCTTACGTTGCTACCCCTGAACCAGCCTTGAACCCTTGACTGCTGACAACACCGGGGCAGCAATTGACTAGTCAAGCCTATCAGTATCTTTGAATTCCCTGTGTTCTAAGGACCGAGGTCGAAATTGCCGTTGCACGGATCCACGGCAGATCATACGAAACATTGCTACATACGGATAGGAGTAGTAGCTATCTACTACTGCTACTACTACCACAAGATACCGTTCCTCACTGTATGTAACTTTCCTCGATATTGAAAATTTTGCTTGCAGGAACCTAACATCCATGTCAGCATTCCATACTTGAGTTGCCCGTGTCTCTTGTCAACGGGATTTCCCATTTTCTGATTGGCAAGCTCGGTGTCCTGCTAAACAAACACTGACCCTGGTTGAGGCTGGCTTCATTATCATGATTGGTCCTAATTGTGAGGAATGAGAATCAGAATGAACTGAGCAGCATTCAGGCATCATGGACACTCCGATGCTTGCTCGGGGGGGTAGGAGCAAGGCTCGGATCCTGCTGCCGTAAGTGCGAATCCTTCTTAAAATTGCCATTTATGGCATGGCATTGAGTGACTCTTCAACATCTTGCATTGGTGCTTGCTTGGCCATCTAGCAACGAGTCACTAACCTCACTCTTCTGTAGGGTCCTGCGCGCGTATGCGATAGGTTATCTATCCTCGACGACGCCAAGAATCGTATCATGTTTACGGCGACTGAAAGATGATAGATTGAGCAACAAAGAGAAGCTCGAAGAAGTAGGTTCTTCCTTTCCTATCCTCCGTCTGCAACGATTGCTCTCTCCTAGTAGTTGATATTTCTTCAGTTTTGCTGGTCGTTATGCCAGTATCACCAAGCATAAACTAACAGTCATCGTGCAGTTGTCCCGGACATTGACAAGTGCTATCCGTCTTGACAGTTTTCCGACGTTCTGTGCACTTTTAGTTGCAGGTTCGACTGTCTTACCTGTTCTCCTTCTCCGGCTTTGTGCGCTTGTCAGCAGTAGAATTGGTAAAATATCCGACCTCATAAAATCTCGGGGCTTTTTGCGGTTGGCCCGCTTCATTGCTGCATTTGTTTCTGCCTGGTTTAGCTTTCAGCTGCTCAATCAGAAGCCTATCAGGCTTCAGAGCAGTGATGTTCTCTCAAGCCAAGGGACTGGTAACGGAGACAATGCTGTCAATAGTCCCGGAAAGAAGATCACGGCTCAATACAGTCCTGATCTTGCCGGGAGGACTATGGACCTCACTTTTTTCACCTTCACTAGAGCAATGGATGTTCTTGTCTGTTTGGCATGGTCACGCTGGCGAGCTATGCGGAGAAGTCAAAATTGCTGGTCTTTAGCTGAGTCTGTCGCTCCTGCGCTTGCTGACGCAGGCCTTTTCGCTGCCAGCTCCGCTGTAGTAATGTGGGCATGGTTTTACCTCCCAGAAAGACTTCCTAAATCCTATGGAAAGTGGATTGGCGAGGTGGCAAAAGTGGATATTCGTCTCATTGAGGCACTGAGACGTGCCAGGCGAGGGATATTCGTATATGGAAAAGAGACTGGCCAGGCATCTCTTCTTGAATCTATGTGCGAGGATTACAACTGGCCTATAGAGTGGGGAGACCCAAAGAAGACAGTTCCCATACCCTGCGAAATGGTGCACATGGGTTGTGGTCCCAATTGCGAGAAACACGCTGCTTCGCGATTTGCTAGAACATTCAAATTCGCTTGTGCAACCTATATTCCGCTGCAAATTGTCTTCCGCCTGCGGTCAATGAAATCGATGTCGTCCCTCCGCCGGGCCCTGACTGATGCCTTGCGGTCATCTACCTTCCTTGCCTCATTTGTGAGCATTTTCTACTATTCTGTTTGCCTGGCCCGAACGAGGATTGGTCCAAAGCTCTTTAGCCGGGAAACGGTAACACCACAGATGTGGGACTCTGGCCTCTGTGTCGGGGCCGGGTGTCTCATGTGCGGATGGAGTATATTGGTTGAAAGTGCGCGGAAACGGCAGGAGATTGCGCTGTTCGTGGCACCAAGAGCCGCCGCAACTGTGTTGCCCCGTTATTATGACAAGAAGGTATGATTGATGAGCTTTGTTCATGTCACCTCGTTCGACTCGGGGATGGTTACGTTTCCCCCTATCGTTCCATCCTGTCTTTACCATTTCTTCCCTCCCGGCAGACCACATAAGTCTCGGATTGCACCGTCAGCTACTAACATGATCCCAGTATCAATGCCGAGAGCGCGTCACTTTCGCGCTCAGCGCTGCCATCCTTTTCACTTGCCTTCGTGAACGACCCAGCATGGTTAGAGGTGTTTTCGGAAGAATTGCAAAAAGCGTGTTGAAGTGAAGGAAGAACACTCTACATGACCATTCATACGAGTGTCTATTGTCGCTGAACATTCCCTTCATTGTTCGAAGTTCTCCAGGAGAGACTTTTTGTACATCAGTAATTAATGCGATATGATTATCAAGTTCTGTAAGAAGGGATTCTTTTATTCTGAGAGGTATGCTTGATCGACGATAGCCCAAGTTGTGTACCGTTGACAACGTGAAGTATTTGAACTAGAGACTTTTCATCTGAGAGCGACCTTTTCGTCCCAATAAATGGCAAATGGCGACTGCCGAGAATTTAATAGATCTCAAAAAGCCTTCCAACGAAGCTACTGAATTTGACATCTGGCATGATCAGGATGTGCTGCGACACAGCCACCTTGCAGCCTAAAATCCGCAACTAGATAAACGGCGACCTGACCCTCTCCAACCCATCAGACATCGTTTAAATAACTCCCGAATCTCACTATCGTCGACTTTTCTACTGAAATTGATTCTCGATATGCCGCTTTGCAAGACCTGTAACTCTCTTGACCTCGAGCAAGAGGATTGTATGGATTCTGGTATCAACTTAGGACCGTTCAATGACCTGCTTACGAAAGCAGAAAATGGCTGCGACGCATGCAGATTCTTTTGCAACGTGTTGCAGACTTCTAGTCGATGGACGACGAGGCTCGACAAGCTTACTGAGCGAGTGATCTTTCTCGACAGTTCCCGCTTGGACGCGAGGAAGCCGACGAAGCTTGATGACTGCACTTATTGCGCGGACGACTTGTGTTTGGACCAGTGCGTTTCAGAGGATTATGAAGGTGTGCACGGGTTATGCTGATAGTGTCGTTGTTGAAATGCTGATCTTTACAGGACCAATGGACGAGGAGGTTGATCGTGTCCGTCGCATCCCCGTCGACCCAAGGGACGAACAGTGCTTTAGTCTGATTCAAGCCTGGACTGCTGAATGTGTGACCCATAGCACCTGTTCCAAGCCCTTGCCTGTTAAACTGCCAGAGAAAACCATTGAGATCCCGGCAGATCCTGCAGTTGCTCCCAGGCTGTGTTCGTCGGACGGTAGATCAGGGTCTTATGTGATTCTGAGCTACTGCTCGGGGGATTTCGAGTCTTTCATCCAGCGAGAGTCGGGTCACACCGACTTCTCGGCTCCCCTAGATGTGCATTCCCTGCCGAAGACTTTGGCAGACGCAATAGAAATCGCACGTCAGCTAGGGTATCAATACCTGTGGACCCGAACCCTTTGCACTTCCAGAGAGGAATGGGGCAGCGATCCGGCTCGAATTGCGGCTATATACGGTCAAGCGGCCTTGATGCTTTCAGCTGAAGTTGCGGAAGATGCGGGCTCAGGAATTTTTCATGACAGACGGGTATTCTACTCTCCTGCAATAGGTCGCAACAAAGACAAGTACCTTCGGCAGCGGCTCCTGCGATGGACATCAGACATTGAGGAGTCGCCGCTGGCGAGGCGGGGTTGGGAGATCGTTGAGAGAATGCTAGCTCCGCGCATTTTACATGTCACTAGCCGCCAATTGATCTGGGAGTGTGCTTCGGGGTTCCAGTTCGAGGCCTCTGGAATTGTCGACAAAAGGACAGGCTCCGGGCAAATTCGACAACGCTACGTCAAGGGAGTCGTTCAGCCGTACCTCGTTAAGCCTTTCCAAGGTCAAGTAAAGGAGGCTGGTGACGTTGATGACGAGGTCGACATCAGCGAACGAGTGGCACGACTCGAGGCCTGGCATCGGTGTGTAGACGCCTTTTCAAAGGGATCAGTCAGTGTGCCATCCGACAAGCTACTCGCCATGGCTCCCCTCGCATCTGTCATCAATGACGGGACTTTGGGCAAGTACATCGCGGGTATTTGGAGCAGCGACATCGCCTTCGGGCTTGATTGGTCACGACCTTACGCTCTCCTACGTCCAGCACCGGAGTACAGAGCTCCAAGCTGGAGCTGGGCCAGCGTAGACGGTACAGTGAGCTCGCTTGCTCTGGCGTGGCCCCAGGATCTAATGCAGGAGCATGCTAAGGATCCCTCCTGGCTGAAGAAATATCAGCCGAGACTGGTATCTCACCACATTACTCTTGCCGACCCCCAACGCCCGTATGGCCACGTCCTGGACAGCTCACACATCCTCGTCGAGGGCTCCTGCATTGGACTTACATCACTTACCCGAAAATTACCCGACGAAGGAGCCTTTGGCTTGATGTTGGTGGTAGATCAGTCGCACGTATTTGATTGTTCATGCTGCATGCCCAGGTCCGCAGATACCCAAAAGGCGGATCTGGACAAGTTCGGCAGCGAAATCGAACATTATATCTGTATGATTATACAAGGGGACGCATGGAGGGTAGAAGAAGGCTGGAATCCCCATCGTGGATTTTGTCATCTTCTCATTCTGAAACCTGTGGACGAAGCGGAGGTTCTCAGGAGGGTAGGGTTCCTGCGGATTTCTGTTAGATCATCGACTGATCCACATACCGCGTTTGATGCGTTGCCCTGGGAAAGACGCAAGTTGAAATTGGTCTGAATTCTGGTCCTGTGCGAATGACATAGCGAACTGCTGGCGATGATCTAGCTTTGCGAAGATCTTTCTCCTGTCTTACGAGGAATAAGGTTTCAGAATGAACATGGAGCACTCAATACTTGACATACAACCTAATACGTATATCCTCGTGAGGTTCGTGTGACTTGTACACTGTCTCTCGATCAAAGCCTCATTCCAAATATCAGACTAGAAAACACCTGACGGGTCTGTGGCAAATCATGGAGACCCATCATGAATCTTGACAATGCCACCAATGACACTCTGGTAGAAACTTCCATCTGGCCCGATTGCGCCAGGTTGGTAATCATCATTATAAGTGCCACCCGCGCCGGTGCGGACTCGCCAAACCTCCTTACCGGTCCTCCAGTCAAGCGCGACAGCATACCACTCCCAAAAGCCCTTCAGCGACAGGTCAACATCCTGCGTATATCCATAGAGTAAACCATTCTTGGTAGAGATAAGCGGAACAGACTGGATTCGGAGGTCTTTCTGCTCCCAGGCAATCTCACAGGACCTACCATCTGCAGCGACGTCCACGCGGACGACTCCCGGAGCCATCTGAGTCAGATTGTTAAAGTCACCGTTCAGACCCGCAGAATCAGAGTAGTACAATGGCGGCGCATTATAGTCATTGCACAAAAGTACACCATATCTGTCTCCGTCACCATGAGCCAGTGGGGCGATGTCGACGTTACTTGCTCCGGCACCGAAGAGTGGCACGCTGCAAACCACCTGTTCAGAATCCGTTTGCGGTTCCTGGTGATAGATAACTAAATTGACTCGGCTGTTGGCATTATCGGTAATCGCGACGTACTGATCTCTCAGCAGTGCAGGAGTTGCTCCAGAGCCGCGAGAAAAAGAGCCCGGTTTCTGGAGGTCGCCAGCCTCATACGGCACAGACCACAATTCTTTGATTGAGTCTCCAGGTCCAGGAGCCAGTGCATACAGGTTGCCGGTTGCATTGGCATGACTGCTGGTCCCGGAGGGGCCGGTGATCACATAGACCGTAGTCCCGCTGACAGCTATGCCGTTCTCGACCATTTGGTTAAGGAGGTGTCGTGCATGAATTTTGCCATCTGGTTCAATGTACCCAATCGTGGTTGAATTTTGTTCGGGGTCTCCGTGTCCTCCCTGAGCTCGCAAACCACCACTGGTGAACCACAGGTTACCCGCCGTGTCATACATGGCGTTGAGAAGTAGTTCATCCTGTGCCAACACTGAAGTCAAATTAACTGTCCGGTTCAGAGTTAGGCTGGGGCCGTCGTCTGTCACGGATAGTTGCACGATATAGATCTGGCCTTCCTTAGACGTAACCACGACTTGATCAGTTTCCAAGAGTAGTTCCATGTAGGCCACATTCAGCGTTTGGCCATCTGTCTCCGGGTACCAGGTACTTTGAACCTCCAAGGTGCTGTCATCAACAGCAGCCAGTCCCCACTTCAGACCAGTCAAACCAATGCTCGTATACCCGGCAATCATTTGTCCACTCTTAGTCCAAAGCAAAATATGAAGTCCTCTGATAGCACTCGTTACATCGAGGTTGGTGCCGAGAGGTCCCGCATAATCAATCGTCCCCGTATTACCCCCATCTTGATGCATGTTGAACGCTAGAGGTTCGTATGTATGCTTTGCAGCCAATGGATTGGCTGTCACACTATTCCCAATGAACCTATCTCCCAGAACGAGCTGCAGGCTTGGTATTGGAAGGACCGCCTAAAATATATCCTTCTTCACAGCCTAATCCAAGAGCACAGCCGACTATAAGAATAATTGCACGACTTACCGTAGCTATAGCTGCTCCCACCAGGCAGAGGATGCCTTGAACATGCATGATCGACAAGTGATGGGGCTGACAGGCTGTAAGCAAATGAGGGGGAATTGAAACTGACAACGGACGCGAACATCCACAATCGCAATTTCGAACGCTTCACCAATGCTCGTACTCTTCGAGGTATTAAATACTTATCGATTCTAGCGAGAGTTTCAAGCCAAGTTTCTGCGATTATTGTATAGGTCTGAAGAAGGCGTCATTTGACAATGGTCCCTAAGAGATTTCGATTGCGTGCTTTGAAAGAAAATGGGTGTTATGGACGAAGGCATGTCAAAACCATCTGTAAGCAATGCTCGCTTGAGCATAATGATGTCGAATCGCTCTGTCATTTTGTGCACATGCTTGGATGGAGGCACCTGTACTGACATAATGAGTTTGATTGACGCAGACACAATGATCGTCCTCGGCTAAATTGGCATTGGCGGCATTGCTACGGAGTATAATCGATTAGTCTCCCGTGATCATCGAATGGTTTTTGACGTTCCGTGTCTCCCCTTATGCAGAGTAAGTCAGACTAATCTTTGTGATTTTGTCAGTGCATAGAGAGATTCGTCATCATATCCATACTCTCATTCGCTGTGAGAGTACTATACAGAGCAAACATGCCCTGTATTGTGCATGGTAACAGCTGGATCAGGCTGGGCCGCTTTGTATCTTACCAAAGCACTGGGTTGGTGTCAGAGTAGGATATGCTGATCATATCACCCAGATTATACTCGCAGAAGCATATTGGCTAGGGAAGGATATCCTCTTGCTGTTATTCCAGGACACGGAGGAAAGTCAAATCTGTAAGTAGATGTATATCTTCGAGAACCAATGAGTGCTTAGCTTGACGGGGTCACTTCGAAACCTGCGCAGCCCGTCATACGGGGCGGTAGATATGATTTCTGCTTCCATTTCTGACAGTTCGATCAGATCTTCTTCCGTCTCCTGCCTGACATTGAGGTTTGCGGGTTGGGATGCATTGAGTTCTGCCAATAATGTGGCTGGTGGACTCTATCTAGTTCTTATCGATAAGAGGACAGAATCATGTGACAGGATCTTCATGTCAGCCCCCATTTCTCAATCGATGAATTCCCCGATATATCCGCAAAGCAACCAAGTTGACAGTCATGTTTGCTCGTGCGCCCTTTCAATGGGCACATTTACGGTCGGCAGGGACGGGTCTACGGTCAGGCCGCTCGAACACGCGCTGTTTTGACTTTGGGAAGAAGTATTTCTCTCACAATTCGTTCCTGCGCCAGGAACTACACCAAAATGCCTCATTTGCGCCTTTCAATACACCCCAGTCGCAGAAACGGAATGCATCCGTAATGTATGAAGATTGATTTTCTTCTTCCTAGCGCCATGATCTGACGTCTTGTAGGTATTACACAGCAAGTCTCATTGTTGGAACCTTAGCGCTCGCTTATGGCTCCGTTCCTCTATATAAAATGGTACGTGGAACCATTGATAATGGGTTGCCGGTCTCTGTCCAGACATGAAGCTGAACAATCTTCCTTTGCAGATTTGTCAACAGACCGGCTGGAACGGTCAACCAGTACTTACACACCGTGCCGGAGACGGCGACACCGCATCGCGCGTAACGCCAGTGACCGACGCTCGTCGTCTTCGAATCACCTTCAATGGTTCGGTTTCGGATGTCTTGCCTTGGAAGTTTACACCACAACAGCGTGAAGTCCGTGTGTTGCCCGGCGAGACGGCGCTTGCTTTTTATACCGCGACAAATAAAGGCCCGACGGACATTATCGGTGTTGCAACGTACAGTGTTACCCCTGGTCAGGTGGCCCCATATTTCAGCAAGATCCAGTGCTTCTGCTTCGAAGAGCAGAAATTGAACGCTGGGGAATCTGTTGATATGCCGGTGTTCTTCTTCATTGACCCGGATTTTGTGAAAGATCCGGCCATGAAGGGCATCGACACCATCACTTTGTCGTATACTTTCTTTAGTAAGACAGTTTGAGTCTTAAAAGCTTGAAGTTGGACGGAACGCTGACTTACTCATAGAAGCGAAGTATGATGACAATGGTGTCCTGAAGCCAATACCCACTGCTTAGAGCTCCAGAAACCCGGCTTCATTCAGGACTCAGCGGCTCGCGTCGGTCTCAAGCCGGGATATACGGTTATGAGACCCATGCCTTTAAGCAGCCTCAAAAGTCGAAATTCCGCCAGCGCCCTCAATGCAGAGGCGTACACATCTCTTGATGTGAAGCTTGATTTGGCCGAGTCTCTCCACATAGACAGTGTGTCTACGTCCATTACATCTTGATGGACAACAAATACTATCTCCTCTCTGGAAACGGCTACTTTGGATATAAAATCATCAGAAAGTCCATCCTCGGGTCTTCGTGTATCATACAAATGCGTGTACTGTACATAAAACTTATCAGATTAGAACAAGCCAGTATCTTTGAAGTAGATATGTAAAAGCATTTTCCCTCCAGGTAAATCTCAAAGCACCTAACCCACTTGATTTTAAGGAGTGAGATTCGATTGTTCATGGTATTCAGACTCTTCAACAGGTAACTTCACCCCAGATCACGTGGGGCTTCTACTGGGCAGTGGGCACGGGCCACCAATTAAGCTCACGCGTCACGAATAAACGCGTCTCTGCTCTAAGCGATATACTCTACAATAGCCGTTGATCTGTCTTGTTACCATTTAATTATACTTGAGTTCATTATACAGTTGCAGACAGAGGCACCAGGATGGCTCTTTTAGTGGATAGATTGCGACCTCGTTCGCTTGATTCTTTATCCTACCATCATGAGCTTTCCGCGCGTCTCAAGTCATTGGTAAGATACACATTGGATTGCCGCCAAATGATGAGCAGATCATTGACTCATTGCTTGAATCTCTGCAGGCTCAAAGCGGGGATTTCCCTCATCTCCTGATGTATGGGCCGTCGGGCGCAGGCAAGAAAACCCGTGTGATTGCGACACTGAAGGAGTTGTACGGCTCGGGAGTAGAGAAGATCAAGATCGACGCCAGAGTTTTCCAAACGACAAGCAATCGAAAACTTGAGTTCAACATCGTATCATCCGTCTACCATCTCGAGATTACACCGTCCGATGTTGGCAACTATGACCGGGTGGTCGTCCAGGAGCTGCTCAAGGAGGTCGCGCAGACTCAACAGGTTGATTTATCTGCAAAACAACGGTTCAAGGTCGTTGTCATCAACGAGGCAGATCATTTGACTCGCGATGCGCAAGCGGCGTTGAGACGAACGATGGAGAAATACAGTCCCAACTTGAGACTGATCCTACTGGCAAATAGCACGTCGAACATTATTGCTCCGATCCGTTCTCGAACCCTGCTGGTCAGGGTCGCCGCACCTACGGAAGAACAAATCTGCTCGGTATTAAAGAACGCTGGTCAAAAGGAAGGCTGGCCGGAGGCCCCTGGACTCAACAAGAGAATAGCCAAGGAGAGCGATCGCAATCTTCGGCGAGCACTTCTCATGTTCGAGGCGATATATGCTCAGACGTGTGTACTCCGTGCTGTTTGTGATTGCCGGTAAACTAATAATGCTACTCAATCAGTGAGAAGGTCACAGACAACACGCCAATCCCACCGCCCGACTGGGAAGCTCTTATCTCGTTAATTGCAGAGGAAATACTCGCTGAGCGGTCGCCGGCCCGTTTGCTGCAGGTCCGCGCGCGGTTATATGACCTCCTCACCCACTGCATACCACCTACGACAATCATCAAGGTTCGACTGCCTGACTCGATCCATGCTCAAAATGGCTCCGGCTAACAACTTTGCAGACTCTGACTTTCAAGTTAGTTGCAAAAGTCGATGACGCATTGAAGCCGGACGTCATTAAGTGGTCCGCTTTCTACGAGCACAGAATCACTCAAGGAAGCGTAAGGGTCAAATGCCTAACCAACACGGAGAATATGCTCACACCTGGTACAGAAAGTGATTTTCCACCTAGAGGCATTCGTTGCCAAGTTTATGCGCATCTACGAAAGGTTGGATCCTCCATCTACCGAGCGAGCTCTTTGACCAATTTCTGACGCTATTTCGCAGTTACTTGATGGGCATGGACTTCTAGATCATATCTTTTGCCATGACTAACGAATGTATAACACGGACTGTATCCCAAAAGTAAGAGGTATTGATTGCATTAATGGATTGACACTTGTGACACCGGTTTGCATACTCTGTAATATCTAGTCCATGAATTGAGGTGACTCGGTCAACGTTTCTTGCGCAGAGGACGGCATGACTTTGTCAATGTGCACAAGAGTAGACCTTTTACATACCAAACCCAAATGAGATTTCCTCATGTTCTATGTGTTGCAAGCTTGGAGATCTCTATGATATTAGCAAAAGTGATTAAGTAGCATGCATGAACTTGGTTGCTCCAAGCCTTTGTGATGGTTTACGTCATACCTACAGTGACCATATAAATTGAGTTGACCCGCCCAAAAGTCGAGATAGCTACGAGGATATCAACAGGCAATTAACAATTACTGTTAACTCAGCAATTTGTTTCCCTTTCTTCTCTTTTTAAGTGAGGGCTACTAGTCATGTCTAACTCCAACCTTTTGGACATTGAACCCGGCGGAGAGAGCACCCAGTACGTACTGCCGCAAGACCTCCAACTTATTTTCTCCGCGAGATACATAGACTAACCTCGGGAACCAGGTATGAATCCATTCGGTTATTTACAGAGACCCCGGCCAAACAAACGGGGCAGTTGGGTGGTATGTTGACGACTCTCATGCCCATCTATGCCCAGTTCATTCCTAACATCTGTCTGACCGAGATGTAGTAAACTCGCCACACACAAAAAGCGAAATGAAGACTTATTTCGATTTTGACAACAATGGCCAGAAGCTGAGCGATGAGGACACAGAGGAGGCGCGGAGGCTTGAGGGGGAATTCACATCTAACATTTCCGGACAAACGGATAAAGGTATAATACTCTTGGATTTTCCTTCTATTTAACTCCGTGGACGAAGGCATGAAATGGTGAGCGTACAAATATCACAGAGAACCAGAGGCTGACAATAGTATACACAAGACTCGAAGGAAAGTGAAGCAGCAGCGAAGACGAGGAGTCAACAGGGGTATGGACCTGGTTCCGGCGTCGGCGCTTAAGCGGCGCTAAGAAGGCGTGAATGACATGGCATGATCGAGGCGGGGGCTTAAGGAGAAGCGGATGAGCTAGAAGAGGTGGAGTTGGGAGGTGTGGCCATATCGTCTGTACCTAGGGCTGGACTCCTTCGTGGTCTTTTGAGGCTTTCAAGAGTGACACCGTTGCCGAGTTTTGTGATACCGACAACAGGCGGGTCACCCTTCTTCACAAATTCCCAGAGACCTGTTTGCATGTAAAATATTAGGATTTGCAATTCTTCCATAGCATGAGGTAAACCGTACCGGGTAACTTGTGGCCTGCCAGTCGGAAAGCTTCCCTCGCAACCTTTTCGTGTAGATCACCCTTGAGCTCGAAGACGATTCTGCTGACGGCAACTCTTGCAGTCCAGTAGTCGAACTTTCCCTTACCCTTACCCATACGTTGCTCGTTGCCCTTGGTGTATACACCAATGTTGGCGCTGACACGCTTGTACAAAGTATAATTCATACCTCTAAGTCGTCTCTTGATAGTTTCTTCTGCAAGCTTGAGAGATGCTGCAGGTAGCCGGCGATCGTGATCCTTCATCCGCAATCCGTAGTCACCCCAGACGACAGTTGTACCGCGAGAGGATCCGCCGGTAGGGACATGTGGTCGACCTTTCGGAGACTTCGACCTTTCCATGAACTTCGGTGTGAGCCAGTCAAGAGCCGGCGAGGATGTTGAGAAGCATCGTGATAGTTGGAAAGCCTTAAAGGGTGCCGATAGACCTATGGAATCAATGTCAGCTCACTGTATGGAAGACGAAAAGTTTTATGGGAAACAGCAGGAAGTCTCACAGGTAGGCCGGAGAAAGGCCATTTGAGGTCCCGCGAACATTTTAATTTGAGGACCCATTGCAACGAACGACACCGGGCCCTTCTGTAATGAGTTGACCAAATTCAACGGACCGCAGACTTTCTGGCTATCGGCATGTCTGCATATCCGATGTCTTCTGGATCCCAAAACGGCAGAGTGTGCTGCGCACGTGCCACAGAATTCCCACTTATGTAATCAAATTAGATCACGTCGGCGAACCAGCTGCAGGCGGACAGGCGCGTCATTCGCGTTTCCGAGGCGAGCTCTAAATGATTATTAGGTAGAAGTGAGAAGCCCGAGGTTGCCTGTTTGGGGTCTACTTTTTATTTCAAGGACACCTCTCGCCTCCTCGGATTGCATGTCGTGCTCGGATTTGATACAGTACCACCATGCCTGCCGACATTAGGAGCTTCTTTGGAGGCAAGTCCAGCCAGGCTTCTAGTGCGTCTCCCGCGAAACCGCCAGCAAAGAAAGAGGTAAGCTGATACATTAAGCCAGAAATGACACGCTGGACCCTGCCATGGTGAAATCAAAAGTGTTGCTAAGACTCAATTCTTCTAATTGCAGGACGTTTCAACCGCTAGGAAGAAGCGTAGGTTCAGCCATGGAACGATAATTTCGAGCCACATTTGCTAAGAGATATACAGGAAGCAGAAAGGTTGTCGATGACAGTGATGATGAAGAGGAAGTGAAACCCAAGTCGCCTGGGCCAAAGTCGAGGGCACCGAGCAAGCCGTATGTAAAATACTGTTACGCGCTGCTTGTGTATCACTAACAATTATCTGAAGTAAACCAGCGGAGTCCCAAGGGGAGCTGACGACCACCTCGGACTATTTTGCATCCTCGAAAAAGAAAACAAAACCTGGCAAAAGCGAAGATGCAACGAAGACCAAGGAAACCCAGCCCTCTGATACTGCATCTCTCAATGGCCGCGATGCTAAAAACGCCTCTGAAACCAATGATACAAAGACCGTCGAGCAACCACCTAGACAACGCTCCCGTAGGACGGCCAAGAAGAGCACCGTTGTTCTAGACGACGACGATGGCTTAGGAGGCGATGACATTTTTGCGACAGAGTATAAAAAACCGGGTAAATATGACGACGACTATGTCGAGGAGGATGAGCACAACAAAGATGATAGCGACTTTGAGGAAATGGAAATAAAACCGGCCAGTGCGGCCTCCGGCAAGTCGTCACGCAGAAAGAAAGCCAGTACACCCGAATCAGCCGACGTGGCCATGGAGGACGCACCCGCAGAACCGGCAAAAGCCTCGCGCGCAGCCCGGAAACGAAAGTCCGAGGCCGTTGATCGGGATGAAGATTATGAGGATACTAAACCCTCGAAAGGTCCGGCGCGCGCAAAAACAGCCGCGTCGGCTCCTGCTGCCAAGAAACGGAGAGGAGCGGCTGCCAAGAAGGATGAGCCAGAGAGCAAGGAAATCCAGGATATATTCGACAGCATTCCGACAATCAAACCTCCTTCCCCACCACCGCCATCAGGTGAGAAGGCCAAATTCAACTTTGCTGCTACGCAAAGGTCGCGAGATCCTGTAGCAGGTGGGACCTCAGAATTGCCTGTTGGCGCTGAAAACTGCCTGGCTGGATTATCCTTCGTCTTTACAGGTGTTCTTGATACCCTCGGTCGCGAAGAAGGTCAGAACTTGGTCAAAAAATACGGTGGCAAAGTTACCACAGCACCTAGCTCAAAAACCAGCTATGTGGTTCTGGGAAGCGATGCTGGACCCAAGAAACTCCAAACAATCCAGGATCACAAATTGAAAACTATCAATGAGGAAGGTCTGTTTGAACTTATCCGGCGACTCCCAGCCAATGGCGGTGACTCAAAAGCGGCTGAGAAACATGCGGCGAAGAAGAAGGCCGAAGAGGACAAGATCAAAGCAATGGCTGCTGAAATCGAAGCAGAAGAGAAGCGCAAGCTCAAGGCTAAAGAAGCAATGACACCTAAAGCATTTGCAGGGTCTCAAACTCCCTCGGCGTCTCAAGGCGCCAAGGTTGATGATCAGCTTTGGACGACGAAATATGCTCCAACATCCATGAATATGATATGCGGGAACAAGGGAGCTGTTGAGAAGCTCCAAAATTGGCTTCATAACTGGCACAAGAATGCCAAGTTCAACTTTTCAAGACCTGGAAAAGATGGGTCCGGGGTCTATCGCTCTGTGATGATCCATGGACCTCCTGGGATAGGGAAAACGACGGCAGCGCATCTGGTAGCTAAGATTGAAGGCTATGATGTTGTGGAAACGAACGCGAGTGATACAAGGAGCAAGAAGCTCGTGGAAAGCGGTCTTTCTGATATCTTGGACACAACCTCTCTGCAAGGCTACTTTTCTGGCGAAGGCAAGAAGGTCGAAAGCACGAAAAAGAATTTGGTTCTCATAATGGATGAAGTTGACGGAATGTCCGCTGGAGATCGAGGTGGCGTCAGTGCTTTGGTTTCCATTGCGAAGAAAACCCATATACCCTTGATTTTAATCTGCAACGAGCGAAGGTTGCCAAAAATGAAGCCCTTCGATCACATCACTTATGAGCTGCCTTTCCGGCGTCCGACAGCCGAGCAAATCAGAGCCAGACTCTCGACTATCTGCTTCAGGGAAGGCTTGAAGATTCCACCTCCGGTTCTGGATGGTCTCATCGAAGGAACCAACTCCGATATTCGACAAGTTATCAACATGCTTTCCACTGTCAAGTTAGACCAGCAGAATCTTGACTTTGACAAGGGAAAGGAAATGTCCAAAGCTTGGGAGAAGCATGTGATCCTGAAGCCGTGGGACATTGTCAGCAAGATCTTAAATGCCCAGACCTTCGCTCCGAGCTCTAAAACCACTCTGGGCGACAAAATCGAGCTGTATTTCAATGATCACGAGTTCAGTTATCTGATGCTTCAAGAGAACTATCTGAGAACCAGACCAACGCTAGCTGGCAATTACCAAGGCAAGGAACAGAAGTTGAAGCTGCTTGAATTGGCGGACAATGCAGCCTCTAGCATCAGTGATGGTGATCTTGTCGATAGGATGATTCATGGAACACAGCAGCAATGGAGTCTTATGCCGGCTCATGCTGTTTTCAGTTTTGTTCGCCCTGCAAGCTTCATTTACGGCAATATGGTGGAGCGTCCCGGTTTTACCAGCTGGCTGGGGCAGAATAGTAAGCAAGGTATGTCTTCGTGATGCAGTATTTCCTTTTTCGATACTAACATGACATGTGCAGGAAAACTCTGGCGTTATGTTAGGGAAATTCAAGGTCACATGCGTCTCCGTGCTTCCGGTGACCGCGATGAGATCAGACAGCAATACATTCCGCTCCTCTGGCACAAATTAGTTCGCAGATTAATGGATGAAGGCAAAGACAGCGTCGAAGATGTCATTAACTTCATGGACAGTTATTTCCTCACGCGAGATGACTGGGATGCTCTGGTTGAGCTTGGCCTGGGTCCTATGGACGAGTCCAATGTCAAGCTGGAAACACAAACAAAAGCCACCTTTACACGTTTGTACAACCAGCGATCGCATCCGTTGCCATTCATGAAAGCCAGTAGTGTTGCGGTTCCGAAGAAGATGCCAAAGGAAAGGCCTGACATCGAAGATGCCATTGATGAATCGGATGAGGCAGAGGTCCTCGAAGATGACGCACAGGATAACGATGAAACTGAAGAACTTGATCTGAAGAAAGACAAGTATGTCCGTGTGCCCAAGAAATCAGCGGCGCAAAAAGGAGCGTCAGGCAAAGGCAAGAAGGGTAAAAAAGCGAATGTCAATGACGATTTCATCGACGATGACGAGAAACCCAAGAAAGGAAAGGGCCGAAAGACCAAGGCAAAGGCCTGAGATGTACTTGTTTCGCTTTATGATGGCGTCTGGGACCTGGTTGTCTACCTCTGTTTATGAGCTTTCGGCATAATATTGAGCTAAAGAATTGTATATGATATGCGAAGCGGTTCCACATCACCGCTAATTAATGTATCATATTTGAAGCCTGACTGGGATACACTGAACAACCTCTTTATATACACTTCTGAACAATGATCAAGATACGTCAGAAGAAATTGTCTTTGACTCTACCCCGTATCTAGGGTCCATACGTACTTTAGGCCGGATTTTGTCTGTGAAGGAGCTAGGTTAGGGTCTTGGCCGATCTGCGGAGTAGTACTAGTGATGTTTTGGGGAGCACCGCCACATGACCCCTCTCCGGCCCCCAATAGCTACTAGCCTACTCCTCATCAGTAAGATCAGTTCATTCTTGCTCCCCCGCCATCAATCCTCAAAACAACTACCCCGAGGGTACATTCCTTCTAATCTTTTTGTTTTGAATGAACAGGCTGGACCTGATTAAGGTGAACTGGCTTTCATCTTATTTATCTGCTGCATGTACTCAGCGCATATCTTCCCTTCATCACAGCCCTCCGTCTCATTGCGGTTTGGAATATTGCACGGCAACTTCGCTGTGTTCAATATCTGTCGACCGATTCCAATAGAGACTCGATCATAATCGAGGAACTGAGTGGAGTACGCTGGGAAGATGTCTCTCCTTCATAATGATGAGTAAGTTGCCATTTCCACCGCGCCTTCATTTACTTTGTGCAGTATGGTCGCGACTCGGGCACTGACTGATCGTCAGCTTTACCATTTGGCAATTGCGCACCTCATATCTATCAACGATCAAGGACGGAGTCGGCGAACGGCTTATCAACGTGAATAACTCGGTCCTCAACACGCCTGGCTTCCGTGCCGCCGGATGGTTCTCAGGATCAACCAACCCTAGCAGCCAAGCCGCAGCAGCGCAAGCAAGGAGAGCCTCTTCCCCTCCTATTCCGACCACGGCTGCCGTTTCCTCAGAGTACTATCGCTTCGGTGCTTCAAGAGATGCCAATACCTTGCGCAGATCCAGGTTTGGGGATTACGGAGAAGACGAAGAAGGGGGCATGGTTACTGGCAAAAGCAACGTGGATGCGATCGGACGTCGGCCCCATGGCCGGAGTGGGAAACGGACGCGCCGCCGGGATCGCCAACAGAGCGACCAGCAGAAACAAAGAGAAGCGGACGAGGATGACAGCAGTGACTTGAGCGATGAGAGCGACGATGATGGAGACAGCACTCGGAGGTTAGTTTGCCGTAGCATGGCATTTGATACTGTGCTGAGTTTGTTTTCCTACTGGAATCACTCACACTGATGCTGTAGCAGAGCTTCTCAGATTCAATTCTCTAAGATGCCGATACGCACGCGAGCCGGATCTTCTCCCATCCGGTCGTCTGATCGTCATGAAGGGCCAGAAGTCATGGTCACATCTCCCTCCCACCCTGCGACAGGAACTCATTTTCGCACTGGATCATTGGGGACGGCAGTGAATGTGAATGAAGGACGACCACGACGAGACACTACTACCAGTAGCGACCTGTCCACAGATAACGAGACCAACGAAATGGACTCCTCTTTTAAGAGGCGACAAATCCAATTCTCGGCCAAGGACAAGATCATAGAATATCGGGACCCGCCTCGAAGAACCGGCAACAGGAATGTCGACACTATGACGCTCGCAGGGCTGAGCGAGGCCGCCGAGGACTCAGGCGCTGAGTCTGAAGGATCTGCGCTCTCATCCGAGTTCGACGCAACGGCTGGGTCCGGCTCGCTTTTGGAAGACGTCGGGATCACCGGTGGTTTGGATTCATCCTCGCCTGTCGTGTTGATGCATAAGCTACAGAACGGAGCTGGATCTCAGATTGCGTCTCCGAGAAAACCCAAAACTCCAGCACCCGAGTTGCAAAATCTGCCACCGCCACGCCCCATCAGCAGATTGCAACCCACCAGTTTACTGACGCAAGCGCTTAAAGCACGCATGAGGGCGCCCACAAATCCTGTCGAGAAATTTGCTGTACTTTCCGGTAAAGGGTTAGCGGATGCCCTAAACATTAAGCTTTACCTTCCATTCTCCTCTGACCCCGAAGAACCTCTTGACCTTCAGCTGAGCCGGGAATCCAAGCTTGCAGATCAGCCGGCGCCGGTCACTGTTGCCGAGGCTATTGGGCTGGCTCTTTGGAGATACTCGGAAGAAGGCCGCGAGCCGGCCATCGAGCGTAACAAACTCAATGTCAATCGATGGACACTACGGATGGTGGAGGATGGAGAGATTGAATATGATTTTCCGCCTTTGAGCCGAGCATCACATATAGCAGACTTCACTTCGAACAATAACAATAGGGCGGCCGGTACGAGGGGCCGATCAAGGGGAAAGCAATATGATGAATTCGCTTTGGTAGAAGCTTCTGAGGAGGAATTCGAAGAGAACGAGCGGCTGTTCCCGCAATACAGTCAGGAAGTACCCTCAGAGGAAAACGTGACGACGCCTACAGCGCCGACTGTGCCACTCATCCCGCCTACTCTGCAGAGTAAGGCCCCGGCAACTCGCCCGAATCCCATTCTGGGACAGCCGTTCTCGTCTGCTTTGAACGACACTACCTTGACTCCAGCTGACCGGCCCGCGGTGCCTACGTACCATGCTACGCCGCGAATGGGCGTCTCCAAAACACTGAAGATCCGGTTCATGAACCTGGATGCTGCCACTCACGTTACAACTCTGAACACCTCTACCGACAGCTATATAGCAGAAATTTTGGACTCGGTCTGCAAAAGATGGGCGCTCGACAAGGGCAATTACATTCTCAAAGTGGCGGGGTCCAACACGATAGCGCCACTTGACCGGACAGTGGAGGCTCTGGGTAATATCACGGATCTCGACCTTGTTCGGCGTCGATTCGGCGCGGGTCCTCTATCATTGACTGGTTCCCCGGGAAGCTCATCCCCCAATGCGCCGTTGCTCATTGACAACAAACACAACGCTACAAGCAAGAAGAGCAAGAAGAGCGGACAACGCATGCTACATCCACTCACCCAAAAACAGGAACTTACGGGTGGTTACTACCGGCGCTATCATGTGTTTCGAAAGCAGTCGATGTCCTTTACGACGTCGAACCATCGCATCCTGACCTTTGACAATGATTACATGCATATCATGCCGGGGGATACGGGCAAGGCAGCATCCGACACCAAAACCCGATCGATCAGCTTCAACGATGTGGTGGGATGCAAAGTGAGTCGGCGACACCCGAAGAACTTCCGGGTCGTTGTTCTGCGGGGCAACGATGCCAATGAGCAGAAGCGGTACGATTTTGAGGCGCGAAATGCCCTGGAGGCGGTTGAGATAGTGGATGAGATCAAGAAGAACATGGCTCATTATCGCATTTAGTTACGAGAAAGGGTGGGATGGCGTTCGGGGCCGAGTCTTATCCTGCAGGGACATGCTGTTTTGATACTATTATCTATGGAGGTTTGGTTCATTGATGTACAAGTACCCTTGGCACGAGATAAGAATCCATGAAGAAATGATGTGAATCACTACTAAATATACTGCTGGACACTAGGTAAAGTAGGCAGCCTGGGCAGGAATATTAATTTAGGGAATATTGCCGGTTGGATGGACACCAAAGCCCTCGAAGCGGGGCATTCCGGAGATCCGCTGGGATGAAGTCACCCAAGCTAGAGACTGTGTAGGCTCTACCGCTGGCGGCAGTGCTTCTAGAGATCAGGTATCTATATAATAACGTTGAAATGCGATAGCGTATCAGAATCTCATATCAATGCTCGAGTAACCCAGCCGAAAATGGGATCTGAAGTTGTTGGTGGCCCAGTCATGATCTCAATGATGCATGATCCCATAGGCAGGGAAACTAGTATTAGTGATGATCTCATCGTGTCTTGAGAGGTTAGGTACTCTCCACTCTGCGCACGCTGTAGGACTTCATCAAGTCTTCTCTATCATGGTCTAGGGACTCAATTGCCTTCAGATGATACGAATTTAGAGCGAGACAAGTATAGTGTAGTTCCTCATCGGCCAGCTATTTGGAGAATCATCTGAAGACGTAGATAGGGTCGAACAAATACTTAAGACGAGTAGATACTTTGTAGAGAGTCAATTGTATTCACACTCTAATTCAAACCTTATAACAACACGATATCATCATCACATCCTTATCATCAGCAAGTAACAACATCATCGTCATCATCATCTTGACTATGAACTACTAGCCCCTCCCCGCTCTCTTGGCTTTCCCTCAATTTACCCTAACTTGTACTCTGCGACCACCTCTGTGATAGTCTACGATGAGAGATTGAACAATCCGATCGATTGACCTCGAGATAGAACAAAAAGCCAAGAAGCAAGAAGAAAGAAGCAATCTCCAGGCCTGCTCTGCCTTCAACTTGGGGTTTTTTGTTGTACACGATCGGGGGGTCCATTGACTCCATTCTGGCCGTCTCTAGCCCCGGGGAGGCGTCCGCAGTATCCGATCTCTCTCCCTCTCCCTCTCCCCTCCTTCAAAGTTCCCCCAAGCCGCCAGAGAAGAGGGGTTGATTCTCTCACACAAAAGTTAACACACGCACCCCCTAACCTACCATACCCTGCTACTCAACCACCCCATCCTATGGTCTATGTTTCACCTTATCTCTGACCTCTTAACTCTTGACTCTCATATCCTCGATGCCGACTTTAGGAGGCCTTTTGAAGAAACGGCGGACGAAGGATTCGCATACCCTCTCTAAAGAACTGGAATCAGGTTCCTCACCCACAACAGCCCAGACACAGACGTCACCCAACTCTGCCGACAACCACCACCACCACCACCATAACAACGAACAAAACCACCACCATCATCAATCTGCCACCAGTAACACCAGCAATAATTCCGCAACCTCCTCTGCTCAGCCTCATCGCTCATCCAACGACCATCCCAATCGCTCTTCAGGTACAGATAAAAATCCCGAGGGTCAAGCTGCCTCCATGCAATCCGCCGTGACGCAACCCCATCCCTCCACCCACCACAACTCGGGCCTCCACCACCTACAACAACACCACCAGCAGCAACAGCAACAGCCACAACAACAACAACAACACTCCAATGCCTCCAGAATACAAAATATAATCCACCCCTCTCATCATGGATCTTCACAGGTTTCTGCGGGGGGCCATGCGAACTCCCAACAGGCCAACCGGGCTGAAACCCGCACTACAAAAGGGAAATATTCCCTAGACGATTTCACTATTCAACGTACACTAGGTACGGGTAGTTTCGGCCGTGTCCATCTGGTGCAGTCGAAACACAATCATCGATTCTACGCGATCAAGGTCCTGAAGAAGGCGCAGGTGGTCAAGATGAAACAGGTCGAGCATACGAATGACGAGCGACGAATGCTCAATCGCGTCAGGCATCCGTTCTTGATCACATTGTGGGGTACCTGGCAAGACTCAAAGAATCTGTACATGGTGATGGACTTTGTGGAGGGTGGAGAGCTCTTCAGTTTACTTCGCAAATCTCAGGTGAGTGCTCTTCGCGTCCCTCCATATCAATGCAGGTCCCCTGTAGGCTGATGTCATGGACCCATCGCAGCGGTTCCCAAACCCTGTCGCCAAGTTCTATGCGGCCGAGGTGACTCTCGCGCTGGAATATCTGCACTCTCAGCAGATTATTTACCGAGACCTGAAGCCAGAGAATCTGCTACTGGACCGGCACGGCCACCTGAAGATCACCGATTTTGGGTTCGCGAAGGAGGTCCCTGACATCACCTGGACTCTTTGTGGAACGCCCGATTACCTTGCTCCAGAAGTTGTTTCGTCCAAGGGTTATAATAAATCAGTTGATTGGTAGGCATTTCCCTCCATGAGCTCGCAGTTTCCATTGGCTGACTAGAATAAAGGTGGTCACTTGGAATTCTCATCTTCGAAATGTTGTGCGGCTTCACACCCTTCTGGGACAGTGGCTCGCCCGTCAAGATCTACGAGAACATTCTTCGGGGCCGTGTCAAGTACCCGCCCTACCTTCACCCGGATGCCGTCGACTTGCTCTCCCAGCTCATCACAGCGGACTTGACCAAGCGGCTGGGTAACCTTCACGGAGGTTCCGAAGATGTGAAGAACCACCCTTGGTTCGCGGAGGTCACCTGGGATCGTCTTGCACGAAAGGACATCGATGCTCCTTATGTTCCCCCTATCCGCGGAGGTCAGGGTGATGCCAGTCAATACGATCGCTATCCTGAGGAGACGGAACAATACGGCCAGCAGGGCGATGATGTGTATGTGTCCCGGTCGCGAATCCCTTTAAATCTAGGTACTAATCAAAACTCTTGCCACAGGCATGGCCATTTTTTCCCTGACTTCTAGCCCAATATACGACGTTTGATAAGGCAATGAATACTCCAACGACTTTGACAATCATTGACTGGAGATGCCCACGATTCAAATGAACTAGCCACTGCTTTATGCTCGAAATGAAAAGTGCCTCTGTTCACTACCATTCTCTCTTGAAAGATCGTGCTTGTTTACGACTCTAGTCCGTCTCGTGACTCGACCATGATGCTCTAGGCTCGCGAATGTGTCCGGAGCGTGCCTGTGAACCCTATCGAATTTTATCTCTGCAAAAGTTTCGTGGCTACCACATGGCCTGACCTTACCTTCTTTCGTCAATTGACGCATCTGAGAGAGTTCTCTTGGACATTGTGGGGTCCGCTATTCTGTTCTTTTGTTGGGTTCAAAGTTAAGCCTTTGAACGATGTTGGGAGTGCTTCTGGTGTTTGTCTGAGGACCCTTTTGGCCCGGCTGCTGGATCCTGGATGATCGGGCTTGTCATTGGTTATTGTGTGTCGCGTGATGTATATCTTTCTCAAGTCTTGGGGAGCCTGCAAGGCCATCCATGTTTTTTTTTTTTTTTTTTTTTTTTTTTTTTTTTTTTTTTTTTTTTGCTGCTGTTCCTCTCATTTGGGTGTTTTTTTTTTTGGTAGTGGGGAAAGAGGGGGCTTTTGTCTTTTCTTTTTTTTTGCGTTTTTTTTATTTTTTGTTTTTTATTATTTCCAATTTTTCGTTTTTTTAAAAAATGTGTAAATTGTATATAAAAAATAGAAAGATTGTCAATAAGAGACAAAGCATGTTTTTCAACATTTTGAGATTTTTATT